TGGGTTATGGTGGGGTCATCATCAGGGCACCTCTAAATGTTATGAGAGTAAAAATAAATAAAAAATACTCACATTTTTTTGTATGAAAAATAGGAAGGGGCGACATCTAGTGATATTAGACTTTATTTTTTTACATGGGTTCACCCAGAGGACACTGTCCAATCATTCATGTGCATGAATCTGATCTAATTGCTGATAAGCAATCGCAAAAATGGATGATGAAAACATTACCCAAATGCCAGTTTGTGGTTTCCTTGTATATTAGAAAACTCCCACTCTAATCATTTTTTTAAGTTCGAAAACAATGCATGCAAAACTGTCAGATCTTTATTGAATGGTGTGAAATTCCAAAGGTTGAGCGCTTTTGCTAAATAATCAAATATTCTGAAATTTAGCATTGCAAATTTCAAATCCCACCCTCTGTATATGCCAGGTTGATTTCAATATTTGTTTTCTTGAATACTTCCACTTGCACAAAAGTTGCAAAGTTCAGAAATGAACACCGTATGGATGAATTGAACAACAAGCTTTATTTTTTTGCTTTTCAGCATTCACAAGGTTCAAAAAAGGTTCACACATCCAAATCCCCTCCACTCCCCACCAAAATTCATCCAATCAGATTCTTCACATCAGAATGGAAGATAGAGAAACAAGCTGTGAAACCTATATTATTCTTTTCTTTTATGTAGATGTTTTCTCGTTGGTGTGTTGACTATATTTATGAATGTGAAAGAAAGGAAGGGATAAATGTTTTTATGTTTTGTAGTTACTATTTTTAACGTCGTATTAGCAATTACTGCATCCAAATTAAAGCACAAGATGTTTAACCTGCCCCCAGATTAGGCTTAGTTGATTGAACAATTTGGAGAGAATCACAAAACACTCTTTTATTATTATGTTATCCTTATTTTAGAAAGATCAATGAAAGACACTATCGCAGTTAAGAAGAACGTCTTCTTCTGCACGCGATTAATCTAATAAAGATTTTTACTTTCCAAGAACAACTTTTCGTCGAGAAGTCTAGGACTACTGGGGGTTTCCCAGTCAATTCTAGAACATCGATAATCTCTCCAAAAGTAGCTATGGCCAAGGTGTGCTGAGGCGATATGTCAACGTCCTCATCACCTACATTGAGACACAAGACAGGGTAAGCTCCCTTGTGTTTTCTAGAAATGCTTTGAGCCACTATCAGGTGGCCGCAAAGACCGTTTGCCACATACAACGTACATGAGCCGACCTTCTCAGCCGATTTTTCCGATAGCTTTGCGAAGAGAAGTTTTTGTGATTTCCTTGGAATTTTCACTGCTTCTATTGGATATAAACGGAATGGTTCTGTTTCTTCTAGATTGCAAATACGAGAACATTTTACCTTTCCTCTCTGCGCTGTTTCTGTTAAGAATGACACTCGCATCTCGTTTAGATGTACACACCTTCCTCCATACGAAAGTTTTGCATGTAATACTTTTAAAACATCCGAACCAAGAATTCCTTCAAACTCGTGTCCATGCATTGGGAATATTACGAATCGCGCTTGTGTTAGAAAAAGGTTATTACTATATAACGATATATACAGCACTCCGTTAACCGGCATTTCTCTACCCTCTATCGTGGCAATAGAAATGTTAGAGGCTAACGGGGTGACTTCCGATTTTAGTGTATTGGGTGAAAGAAGAGAAATTTCCGAACCTGAATCCAGAAGGAATTTTGCAGGGTAGCGTGTGGCATCAGTGGCTAGGAGGATGACCGGTAACTTTGTGCTGGTAGCTGTTGAAGTCCCGGTCAGTACTTGTTTCCCGAATACTGATTTGCAGGCTCGTTGATGTAGCCTTTGGGTAACAGTTCTTCTTCCTCTTCTTCCTCTTCTGCATTTTCGTTGTAGTCTTCGCCTTCCTCTACGAAATTTACCAAACGTCGCCCAGCACCGCGTCCTTGTCCACGTATATTTCCTTGTGAATTTCCGCGGTAGGAGGAGCGCCCTCTCTGAGTGTTCGCGAATTTAGGCGCGCGGCCTTCCCGTTCGGGGGCCAGGTACACTAATTTTCGCGTTGTAGGCTTTGTCGCTGCCTTACTCTGTGCGCGGCACTCACTTCAAAATTGACCCTTTTGGCCACAATTATAGCAAATTGTCGCGGATCGAATATCCGGCATCGCGTTTCCACCATACGCACTTGGAGGGGTTTTGGGACGCGATTGGGAAAGTTGGTGTAGGGCAGAAGATCGAGAGGAATCTAAATCCCTTTCTCCATCCTCCACGGAGATCGCAAATTTCAGGGTGGTCTCAAAGTCATCAAAAGTAATTCGTATAGCACTGTGGCGATTTTGGGAACGAGCCCGTCCAAAAAAGTCGAGAGAAGGAATCCGTCTAGAAAGTCCTGCTTACCTTTATACTCCCAGCATTCCTTTACGTAAAAAGGATGAGGCAGGAGGGCAGCAGGTTGGTTTTCCCGACGAATTACCTTTAAATTGCCTGGGGCGTTGCCTAGGAGAAAATTACCGGCTCGTCTGACTCTAGCCCCAAAAGTCTGGACCTGCTCACCGGGAGCTTGTCTCATCCTCTTTAGGTCCTTCATCAAATTTGTCAGCACTCGCCTCCCAAACATATCCTGCAACGTCTTCACTATTACTCTGTAATGGGCTGAGGTGAGCCCTTGGATAGACGTTACGTAAATCTGTGCTTCGCCCCTAAGCTTACTCAACAAATTGGACCGGATGCTCTCATCTGAATAAACGCCGTCATACAGGGCACTTTGAAAAGTTGCCCACCACTCCTGCCAATTCATACAAATTGGACCGGATGCTCTCATCCGAATAAACGCCGTCATACAGGGCACTTTGAAAAGTTGCCCACCACTCCTGCCAATTCAGGGGACCACTCCCATCGAAATTTGGAATTTGATTCATCGCGATTGACGCCTGTTGAGTACTTACGCTAGGCAATCTGGACTTCTTTAAATGCTCAACATTGTAGAAAACTACCTCGTCCGTGCTAGGCTCGGTAATTTGGTCAAGACTTAATTCATTTGCCACCAGAGCCTGTCTGATACCCATACCATTGGCAAAATTGTGCTTTTTAATTTTCAACTCTTCCTTCAGCTGTTTTGAAAACAACAATAGTTGAGAATCATTGATTGCCTTCTCGTGGAGACTTATCTCCATTAGATTAGGTTCAAGGACCTCTAAAATTGTCGTTATGGTCGCCAACGGACCGTCAGCTGCTTTAATATCTTCAATTCTTTTTCTGAGCTCATCCTTCACCTCTTGGGCTGGACCAGGGTTGGCATTAAGCTGACCTTTGAGTTGCTCTATTTCTTTTTCTAATTCCTTCTTTCGCGTAGCAGCAACTTTGGCCTGCTCCTTGGGATTCATTTCGAGGAGTTTCCTATCCACAACAGAGTTCACATCTAACACTCGCAACATGTCGAGCGATGAGAAGTTCGAGGCGGTGCCAGATGCCATAGCAGAAATTTCCCTATGTTCACTGCTAAATTCACTTTTTCACAGACGCCGTATTCAAAGGTACTTTTCGCGTGTACCTGCGGAGGTCTGGAGCACTTAGTCTTCTACTATTTTTCTTCAAAGCACTTGTTTAGTTTTCCAACTTTTGCTATAAGCACTCACCCGGGGTAAAAAGGAAATCTCGGCTGCGCCAAATTATGTTATCCTTATTTTAGAAAGATCAATGAAAGACACTATCGCAGTTAAGAAGAACGTCTTCTTCTGCACGCGATTAATCTTTTAAAGATTTTTACTTTCCAAGAACAACTTTTTGTCGAGAAGATTTCTTCTCCTGTAGCCCGAGTTTCTAAGTGAATTAGACTTCTCGTTATAAAGACGTGAATACGTATATTTCTTGGTTACTTCAACAAACGCCAGACCGACAATGAATACCCGATATACACTTCACGGACCTTAAATAGATTCAGAATAAACCAGACATGCATGATGCAATTCAGTCTGGAAAACAGAAATGGGGACGGGGAATGACCGTAAACCAGACACTGTAAAAGTACGTGTCATGACCTCCTCAGATTCGGATCTGAGTTGCCAGGCAGAAGTATTGTTACGTTTTGGGACGTAAAACAAATAAATAGGAAGCGTCATTATAAACCTGTCATAGGACACTCATATTAATATTTGATGACATAATATCTCGTGCAAAACACTTCATTAGTGTTTTTGTAAAACGTAACGTGGACTTTTTATAGTATACCGTGGTAGTTTATTTTACTTGTCAAAAGAACACGAGAAGACGGTCACAACCCAAACCTAGCATACAAGTCTTTCTGCTGAGGTGCTGCACAATTTCCTCTTCACTTATGAATAATTTAACCTATCTTAAAATTAAAAGTTGGTCAATCAAATTCAGCAACAAGTAAGCAATACAGTACAAATTAAAATGATAGGCAAAAGTATTATAGACTATAGACACAATAAGTATCCACAGTCTCTGAACTGCAATTGCAACTCACTGATATATTTGGCAGCCGGACTATGAGTAGTTGCTGCAGGTACTTATTTTCCAATTTTGGAAGTATCCCACTGAAACACCTATTACCAAATCCCTGATTTGATTTCCCAACACTTGTCATTTTGGAATGAAGCCAAAAGCATGTGTCGTGTGGAATTATAACTTTCTAGAGAATACAATTTGATGGAAATCAAAAGCAAATCCTGGTTAAATATGTCTGATTGCAGGTGTAATCCAAGTATCTGCACATATATTGTATTTGCTGAAGCATGTATCCTTGAATATGCTGAGAAGAGCAATACACAATGTCTCATGAAAGCAATGCAATTCTTGAACGGTCTCATTTAAACCATTTTTAGTCTTCTACTGTACCAAGAAATAACTTCTCTCCTGGTTCCAAGAACACAAAAATGAAATCAGTATAAGGAATTCCTTTTTTCTACCCAGAAGTCAAAGGCACAAACATTTTTAGAACTCTCTCTCCAAAAATTTGGATAGATTGAATTGGAAGAAGAGAATGTGCTCCCAATGCTTAACACCACTGCTCAGACTGCTGAAGCCTGTGAGCTCCAAGTTCAAAAGCTCTGTTATCAGCCATGGGAAGGCACTGATACTAAATCCATAAATCACTGATGAGCATTTCACCCTGTCTGTTTCCGTATTTGGATTTGATGGATGTAGGAGTTTGTCATGGGGTCTTTGAGAGAGGGAGAGAGAGAGAGAGACAACCTCTCCTGATGCTGAACCCAAAATGCATTCTATGATTATTTTTTTCAAGGATTTTCAAAAAAAAGCATCAAGATTTCAAGATCCTTAACACTACTTTTTTTAACCCATTGAAAATATTTAAAAAATGAGAATCTCTGTAAAAAGTACTTCCATGTATGTATATCAAAGAAAAAAATTCCGGTTTGAAAACCTTGCTAGAATGGTAAATATATTCACTGTATAACCATTTTAGGAAACCAAATGTCCAGGTTCTGTCACTCTGCAAACAATGAATTATGTGAGTCAGGCCTGAATTTGCCGAAAATTGGGCTCAAAATTATGCAGATACTCCTTGGAGTTATAATCATCATTCATTTCAAATTGTTTTTGGGAGAAATTGAATTCTAAAATCTTTTTTTGGCAATAAAACCCAACAGGAACTGAAGAAAACCCCTTTTAAACCATCCCTGCATTAACTTTCATTTCCCCATCACTTGTTATAATATTTTCCCCTTCCGTCTGGCTTCATTGAAAAAAAAAACAAAGGTGAAAAAAATTAATTTCACAAACCAAGTTCAACCCAAGTCAGTTTTATTCATATGAGCTGTTGATCCACGCCGTATTCAACCTTACAAAAACCACTGAACCGGATTTAGTGTCAAACACTGCCCCCAAAAACCCGGGTTTAATGAGAACCAGGTCAGAGTGTTTGATTCTCCCCACAGACAAAATCTTGGACTTGGTCCAAGTTTTCCCTTCATCATTACTTGATTTTAAAACCAGGGCACTTTTGACTGGCTGCAGAAAAACCAGGGTCTTCTTCTTCTGATCCACAACAACATTCAAGATGGAACCCGGGCTGCCGAACTTGGCCTCAGGCAACTGCTGATCAAAGGTTGCCAACGGGAATGAAACACCGCCATCTTTGCTGTATGCCACAACACGCTTCTAAAAAAACACATAAGTGTCAAGACATTTTTTCAAATACATTTTTATGCAGTGAGATCCCCACATTTGGACCATTTGAGATAGGGACACTCATTTTCCCATAACGAATAAATAAAAAAGGACAGACATGATGACGCTGACTCAACATAAGGACACTTTGTGATAAAATTGCAAACAGGTTTAGGCCAAATTACAGGAAACCCATATTTCTAACCCTGAAATTGATGTAAGTCAAGTTCTTGGGCATTTCTCTCACCAATTTACCATCCATTTAGCTCATTTAAAAATTACCTTCTGCAAATAAGAGGGACTTCCTTCTCTCTTTTTCATCTCAACTTTATTTTTTACAAAGATTGCCAACTTTTCCATGGACTGTAGAGAGGTATCAGTATTCAATCCCCAAATGTCCAGTTTGTTTAGAAATATATTGATTGAATCAGTTTCAATTGGGAGACAATTTTAATTTTTTTTTGGAATTATGGTGAGTATTTTGTCCATAAAACACCAATTAAAAATTGAATATTGTAAGTCTAAGGGAAAATGAGACTTGACGTACAGACATTTTTACTTAGGGACACTTTTAATGCACCAGTTATGTCCACATCTGGGGGTCTCACTGTAGATTGTGTATGCATCAATTTTTTTTTTTTTCAATGGACTCACTCCATTTCCTAAGGTTTGCAAACTATTGAGCACCACAAGGCCTTCAGAAAGCTCAGCAATGCTAGATTCCCCAGTGCCCTTTTTGCTGGGACCACCCCGGTGCCACGTGGTACCACCATCGTCACTGTACAACACATGTGCTCTGGACCTGAGTTTCTTGCCCTTGGTGCCCTTTTTTGCCTTTGTGTAGAAAGCAGGGACTAGCAAGCGACCACTGGACAATTGGATCCCATGCCCAGGACCTGTGACATACGATTTCCAGCTTTTCTTCATCGCGGATTTTGTAATCTGGAGAAAAGAAGAAAATACAGTCAAACCTGCCTGTACAATAATGGACTTCATTTGTCCAACTGACTATAGTCTGGTATGCAAAAAGTCTGTTGCAGGTGGTACCATGCAATTTGACCCTAATCCAGTGCCAAACTATGGTTAAATTGCAAATCAATTGAATTGTGAGGCACTTTGTTGAATAAAAAATATCAGTATAAAAGCACAAAAAATTGTTCAAAGCAGGTCAAATTGCGCAGCAAGATTTGAATTGGAAGTCAACCTCTCTACAAATGTGATCATTAAATTGCAGGATGGTCAACTTTCTGGAGGTCACATTGTGAGGTACCACTTGTGTGCAAATTCAATTTTCCGAAATGTTTCATGCTATAAGTTTCACTCTTAATTCTTTGAATCATCATGCTTTTCTTTTCAAGAATGATGAGTTTTGTTTCATTGCCACTCTTGTTGAATATACCCACTTTTTTATACCTGCAAAACTTACGCAAATTGAGCAAGATTGTAACCAAAAGAACTCAAAAAGACAAAACGCACAGATTCAAAAAGAGTATTAATGATGTTTTGAATTAAAATCAACTTGAGAAGCAAGGGGGTGAGGAACTTGGGTACATCTGCTGGTGTGTATGTCTACAGACTGCAGTCTGTTGTGCAAGAGTAAAGAACACCTCAAGAGGAAGTCAGTTCTGAAAATCCATTGTGTGGGAGATTGGTTTTACATACATGATTCAACTTCAGTAAGCATTCCACATTATGAGAATTTAAATTTCAAAAGAGCCAGGTTCATTAATATCTAAAAGAAAAGTACTTTCCCAAATCATGGTAGCTGTGAACCAGGGAGAAGTTTTTTTTCATTTGATTCATCATCAAAGATTCTTTTTAACTTGTTTAATCAGTTGAAAATTACTGAATCTGAGAACATGCTGAACTGTCTTGGGGAACCTTGCCACTCTCATTCTTGTTGCAGAGCATTCAACTTGCTAAAGAAATTTATATTTCACACTGCAATATTACTGTACACTATTCAATGGAGTATTGCCTGCACCTTTTTTCTAAAATTGACAGGAAGAAATGGGGTGTATCAAAGATGGGTATACATCTTTCAAAAGATTGTAATAAGGTTTGGTTTGCATTTTACATTATTTGATCAAAATGGTGAATTTTTGAAAAATTTCAACTGCATAACATTTCAACGGGAAACACCTTTTCAGTTTTGGAAAAAAATTTCAGAATGTCTTGAACCTTGCGCAAAAGCTGAAAAGTAGCAAATAAATTTTGTATATAACAATCCATGAAAAAATATCTACTTCAGGAATGGATGTTTATGTATATTGTAAATTTGTAATTGATGTGATGTAAATACCTGTACAGGTTTTTTCCAATGAATGCCGTCGTCTTGACTTTGGATAACATGCACTGATCTTCTTGATTTCTTTCCAGAGCTGGATAAAAACAAGCAGAAAATCTTCAGTTTTCCATTTCAACTGCAATTCAAATTATCATCAAAATTATTTGTGCTTGTCTGTCCAAAAAAAAATTGTTTCTCTGTGCATGAAAAATGTTAGTTGTAACTGAGAGAAAGGTATATTTTCTAATGTTTCAGAAGGTTTTCAAAAGGAATTGGAAAGAAAAAAATCTGTAAAACTTCATGAAGAGAATATCCTTTCAGCATTTTTATAAAATCTTGAATTAGGCACACCTCATGAAATCATTGCACTCATAGCATAAAATTTGCAGTGAATAGGATTATCCTAATTTTCTGATGCTGAACTTGCTTCAGCATCAGAACTATGGATGCCGAACTATGGTTGGCAATATACTGGAAAGTGGAACCAAAAAGCTTTATACAGTAAATCATTGAAATTGAAAAATATGAGCCAGGTAATATTTTTAAATTGTAATAAGTGCAGGTGGTACCAAGCAACTTTACCCTAATCAATTGCCAGACTATAGCGTCAAAATTCAAAGCAGTCAAATGGCAATACAATTTGTAAAATTGAAAAACATCAGTAAAAAATGCAAGAAAAGACAAATGTGGTCAAATTGTGGGACAGAGGTGAACATATCAAATCTGCACCACTTCTGAACAATTGGGTCACACACTGGTTTCTCTCTGAATATTTTGGAAACCTCGTTTTTCAAAACATAATTTTCTGATAATATTTATAAAAAATTCTAAATTTTCTTAAAATGTCAGTGTGATTAGGTTTTTCAACATGTTTTTTTTCTCAGAATTGCTCCGTTATTCATGAATATAAATATCAGTGATTACAGTTGTAGAAATCGCCAAAATACCTATTAAAAAACAGCCAGTGAAAACCTTGGCATGATTTTTGGAACATTGTTTTTCTGAAGATATCCTGAATTCTGCCCCAGCAATTGTAAAAAATTTCATACTTATGTTTCATATCAAGAATTTTTGGAACATCATAATTTTTTCCAAGCACAATTTATGAGAGAACTTGCAAGATGATCATACATTTCCATGAGTCAGCATCTAATTTATTCTCCTTTTTGAATAGTTTATGGTGAATGTTTATGCTTAGAAACATTTCTTTTTAATACAAAGAAATAATTACGTTACTCTAATTGGCAATGAACATATTGTTATCCTGGAAATACTCAGGTTTGTTTCCAAGACCTCTTTTTAAATTGCACCTTACTTTGAGGAAGCAAACAAGGTTTTCTCCTTGCAGCTGTTCCCCTTGGTTTGAAATCTCTCTTCACACGTCACCCCAGGTTAAAACAGCATGATGCGCTTTTGTCCTCTTTAACCCTACATGATACACCCTACATGCTAAGTCGGACTATTTTCGCAAAATTGCGTACCACCTCAGAGAGGTAAAGAAAAAAATTAGGACAGGGAGCCTAGGGTGAAGTCCAGAATAATCCTGGCGTTTTTTTCCCTCCCAGCAGAAAAATTTTGTCGGCAAAAAAAAAACTCTTAGTTAGGCTACTGGCTTTTTTTGGATTAATCCCAACTTCGCCTCAGCCCACCTGGAAGGGTTTTGGTGACCTTCCCAAGACTGAAAATGCAGGAGGATACAAAAATAATCCGACTCTGTCCCGCTATGGGAAAGAACCCTCCGCCATCCAAGGGTTAACTAATAAAACTCCCCCTCACTCTTGACAGTGACAAATGTTATCCGCGCACATATCCGCGCCGCCGCACCTCTAAAATACGAATTTTAGAGGTATAAACAATATAACGGATTTGCATATATATATATTGTTGTGTATCATGTTCTCGGATATTTTGCTTCATGAGGTCTGCGCCCTCATGAATATTATGCGGAATACTTTGTTGTTAATCTGCATTCCTTGTTGTTGACCTGTATACCTGAAGAGCATATATATTGCTGAGGAACGATATTTTCCTCAGATTTAATCCTGTGTCAACCGCGGTTACTTCTCAGAGAACCTTGTGTACGTTCAACAAGATTCTCCTAAGACTTCTCTGTTTTTGTTATATTTGTCTTGAACAAATTCGGTTGTGAATAAAATATATCTTTAATATATATTGATCTGGAATTGTTTATTGAGTATCAGACAACAATATTACAAAGTGGGGTCTTGGCTTATGAACTTGATTGGTTCGTGAACACAGTTTATTAGCTGAATCGTTTGTCAGCCAATGCACATCTTCCCTTTTACAAAAGTATAGGAATAATTTGAATGCATTCCAGAACCTTGAAAGTGCCAATGAAATTCAATAAAATGCACCCTAAGAAAGTATTTCCAAGGCTTAAAATCCATTAAATTGTCTTAAGACAATATTGGAGAAAGTCACTGCTGTAAAACAATCCATATAAGCAAATTTTTATGGTGACTTTCTCCAGAGGTTTCTATTTGAAAACTTCACATGCAAAACACCAGAAACTTAATCACAGACCAAGTACTTATGGGATGAAATATTTTAATGCAACAAAGCTTTTGAACTTCAACTCAATTTCAATGGAACAAAAATTGTTGATCAAGAATTGGTTGCTAAGCTTTTGAGACATTTTCAGATGAATTAATGAATAAATTTAAACATGCAACCATAAATTTGCTTCAAAAAAAATTTTATTAGGAGTTGGAGAGCTCAAAGTTTTGTCAAGTCATGATTTTGTTATCAGACTTCAATTAATGTTGAGAAAATATAAACTTCTGCAGATGTCTAGGAGTTCTTCACACTGAAATACTCACTGTTGTAATGCTTACTCAACTCAGGTCTGACAGCATTTAATGGTGAGAACTCTGCACGAATGAATATCATTGGAAATCCAAAAGTAGGTAACATGCAACTGCCTTGTGTATTATCTGCTAGCAAGAAGGAATGGCAGAAACTATTTGTTGACAGATTTTGAGCTTGGGCAGCTGCTGAGGACACAAACAAAAGTTTGTCAGCTGAAAAGTTTGCAAGCCAAGACCCTGCTGCATGTCTATAGAACCCATGACATGATTTCTATGTGACCATTTCAAGAAAATGTACCTACAGTGGCCCCCCGCCTAACAGACCTCCCGTGTAAGGGATTTTTGCCAAACAGACCAGCTCTGCAAGCAGTTTTTCCTCCTGCCCAACAGACAAAATCCGCAAAACAGACTTCTTTTGGTTTAAAATTAGTGTTGAAAATTGAAATTTTTGATTTTTTATGTAATTGAATTTGTGTAAAGGACTTTTCATCTAACAGACTTGTCCCTTGCACAAATCAAGTCTGTTAGACATGGGTTGACTGTATATTGTGAGCATTGCATGGATTTGGCACAACTTTTAAAACATTTGATTCATATAAAATGGCTTGCCTAAGTGTTTTCACAATTCATAAAGGCATTTTCAAGATGACCCCGCAATGCCCGCATCTTCTACAGCTCAGACTCAATTGATTTCCATTTTTTTTCAATGTTTATGCAAATATTGCAATTCTAACCACACCTGTTTTGGTCCCCAGGGGCTTCACTGCTGTAATGCACAAAGAGAACAGAAACAGTCCCAGTCTTCAAGTCAGCCACTGGAGCTGGAGAGGCAACAATTCTCTTGGCAGAACCCTTGAAAAGCTTGGCAGCTCTGCTCCAGGTAGTGCCATGATTCACACTCCTGCGCACCAAAATCACAGATTCCTTGGCAGACCTTGATTTCCTGGCCTCTGCAAATGCCAGCAGGGTTCCAGTCCTGGTCCTAACAATAGCTGGGGTCTTGAAGTAACTGTAGCCCTTGAGACCCGGGTTAAACAGCATTTTGCTTTGCAGAAATGGCTTTTCTGGTGCAAATTTTCTGGGGTTTGGTTTGAGGTTTCCTCTTGATTGGGTGGGTTTTCTCCCTTTTGCTTTTGGGCTGAACATATTTTCACCCGAAGTTGGTAAACTGTCTTTGGAGTCTATTGGTTGTTGACCCTGGATTGAAAATTGATGGAAATGTGAATCAATTTTAAAAAAATGGTAGGACTTTGCATAATTTTAACCTATTTGAAAAAGTTGAGGTGAAGCTTGAATTTTTCTTTGAAAATATTTTCTTCTCTGAAATTTTCAGGATTTCTCAGCAACTTTGCTTGAGAAAAGCACAAGTTCCTGGTGGATTATAATTCCCAAAAGGAATCCATCAATGGGTCTCTCATCACAAAGTCTTGAAAAGAATATATTAGTAATAATTAACCTAATTAATGGATTGTTTGAGGATTGCAGGAAAGAATTTAAAAATTCCATTCCATTTCTGTTATCCTGGATAATATGTGTAATCTCTCTCCTCTAATTTCCTAATTTTCACTTCAAATGTATCCACCTTCTCTCTTTAAAGATATATATTAGGACTCAGTTATGTTTCCTATTCAGCTTTTTCCCTTCAAAGAAAGTGATGGCAATGTGCTCCTTTGCCTTGCCTTGATGCTATGCATTGAATACTGTTCTTTCATTATAGATGAAATGATAACTTTTTTTTGTAACTTGTGACCTTTCCAAATAGTCACGCTTCAGCAATTTCTTGATTTAGCCTTTAAAACTTGATGTGTGGAAATCAATATAGAAATTATTCCCCGTTCCTGGTTTCCCTCTTGTCTATTTAAAGGGAAGGTGTCCATTTAAACTAGCAGATCCTTTCTAGAGTTTTACAAGCAAGGTAAAGGAGTAATAGCTGCCCTGTTTTGCTTTAAATATTAACTCTGTAGATTGTGCATCTCAGTCCTCTGGACTTTAAACTGTTGCTTGATGTGTTCTGTCTTGTGTTGACGTTATTGAGAATACTGGTGTTTATATAAAGGCATTTATCATGCACTCAACTCACAGTTCTTTTTAGTTTTAGATTATCTTCTCAACCGATAAGGAGGACAACAAAACCAACTTATGAAGCATTTCCAAAAATTTCAAGACTTGAAGCATGAGACAGTCTTCAAAGAAATTTAAAAGACTTCCACTCATGCCAAGGCTTCTTTTGGAATGAAAGTTCAACTCACTTTCTTTCTTGACTTTGGTTTGATGCGTTTTTGATGATGTCTGCCTTTCTTCCCAATTCTGGTATTCAGATTCTGAATCGGATTTGAAGAAAGACCAATCATTCAATAAGCATATGTGAAACTGTTTGGTCATATGGGAATCTTCACACTTATCATTTGAAAACAAATTGGACGTACTTTTGATTTATTTCAAGAGAATTTGGCTTTTATTATGCAAAAAATGGTTGAAATTCAGGAATAAATCTTTTAGCACTCCAGATAAAAATTAACTAAAAGAATGGAATATTCTAATGAAACAGACAACGATAGTTTTTTTCTTTACTCCAGGAAGAGATTTTTCAAAATAAACTCACGTATTTTTTTGGTGTGTATTTCTTCCCGGTTGTTCTTGTCGCATTCTGAAAAGATTCTCAATTTTTAGGCTCACAGGATCATCGTGCAAAAAGTATGCAAAATGTGTGCTTGAGTTAATGCCAAAATATATGTGCTGATTTCGGATTGAAGCAGTTAACAGCACTTGGCCGTGGTTTAAAATCCTGAGAAATTTTGAAATAATTTTGAATTTTATGTTTAAAACGAAAAAAAAACAAGTTATCTTTCAAACCTTGAAGTGAACTCTCCAAAAATGTTCAACAGCACTGTAAATTTGCAGTGATTTTTCAGCATTTAAAAAAATACACCGTAACTTTAAATTGCATAATTGTCAAGTAAACATGAATTTTTATGAATTTTGAAAACAATTATCAACTGTGCTAATTTTCAGTCAATTTCTTCGCCACCTGGTTTTTGCCATTTCAAGCACGAACAAAATTTTGGCAAACATATTCACCATTTCGGGACGCAAAATTGTCTTCCCATCTGTAATTCCTGTTGAAACCGTGCTTGAAAAACTTACAAAAATGGCAAAGGTCACTATAATTCAGAAATTAGGTCAAGAGTGCAAAATCTCACTTGGGCATGACAATATTTGCCTGAGGTTGTTCCACAACTTCTGGGATATTTACAAACGCTTCTGGATCAACAAAGAATAAAAGAAATAATGTCAAAACTAAGGAAGCAATTTGCAAAACCTTTGTCTGCAACTTTCACCCATTGGTTTTGGTGATGTTCCATTAAAAATGGCGTTCTTTGCTGAAAGCTCCATCCTTTCTTCTGGACTTATCGCATTTTCATTCTCCTGAAGAAGTTCAAAATATTTTTTAAGCTTCTGAAATATTTTTTTCAATTAATTGAAAAGTCAACTCACTGATATTAAACTTGGAGTGGTTCCCAGCAGCAGGTCTTGAGCAGAAACGCTGGACAAAATCCAAACAAAAGTCCAGACCAAAAAAATTCTTTCCATGTCTATTTTAATGAAAATATGTTCACTGACTGAAGTTTCTCCGCCTTTTGGGAAAATTGAGACTAAGAAAGCATGTGTTGATATAATTTCATGGAAGGATCTATAAAAAGCTTGAAGATATTCAGTTGAGAATCATTCAACTTCTGCCTCAAGTGATTGATAAGAAATAGATCATCACTTCATTGAATGGCTATGAATACCCCTTTGGCATAGATAAGAAGTGTTCTTTGATTAAGCTGAACATACTTATTTTCATCAAAAAGGATGTGCATGGATCTTAACCATAGATTCTTGAATAAAAGAGACTTCAAACTTTATAGAGGAAGAAGGAAAAATCAAATGAAATTCTCAAATTCCTCATCAAACATATTTTCCATCATATTTTAAAATTTCAACAGGACACACACACTCACAAAAACTGGAACATTTGGATGAATGAAAATACAGTACCCCAAAAGAAAAAAAGGATAAAATTTGTTAACATTTAAATCCAATGCAAGAGGAAACTTCACATGCATTCTTTCACAGGGAAATCAATCTTCAAAAGCCATGTTTCTCATCACTGAAAATGATTAAATCATCACAAATCACACATGAGCCCATAAAAGTGAGCTTTGTGGCACACAACTGCTGGTTCAGGCCTGTGACTAGGATTTTGCAGACCTCCAATCACCATGTAGTGGTCATGAGGCAGGTGGGGGCTGGTGAGTGCAAAAGATTTAGCATTCTGCTGAGATATAACGCCATCTTCCTGCCATGCTCCAGCAAACTTGAATTTAAACCTCTTCAAGTTTTCCTGCAACAAAAAAGTAAATACTCCATTTGAAATTTCTGGGACTGAAGTTCAATTCTCATCCAAAAAGATGCTTTGCCTTAGCAAATTAGCTGTTACATATATTTCATGTCTTGGTCACAATGAGAAAAAAAACAAGCAGCCCATCTTATTGTTATAAAACTTCAATAATTTTGAGCAAAAATGGAAAAATACAGGACAGAATTATGTGCATGTTATCACAAATTATTCTCAACATTCACATTAATCATTAGTTCATGATTGAAACACCATTACTTATGAGCAAATAATCTCTTTCAAAAAATCTTGCAATTGAATCCTTCATTCCAGGTGGTGTTCAATATTCATTTAATTATCAAAGCATTCATTTTGATCTTGATATTTAGTTGAGTTCCATTCACATTTTAAAAATTCAAATAAAAAAGATTTCTAAAGCCTTTATGCAGATCATACATGATTTCAAAAGAGATTTCAACAAGTTTTAAAGCAAATTTGAAAATAAAGGAAAACTAGGCATTCACTGTGACTGTCATCAGTCAAAATTGAAATTCTGATGCTTTTTTTTAATCTTCCAATATTCAGTGCCTCAAAATGGGATACAATCCTTACCTGGGGATGCATGATGTCTGAGTTTAAGATTGAAAAAATCAGGTGTGCACCTTATTCAAGGGTGTGTGATACTTGAAAAAATATAGTGTATTTACCACCTGATTTCATCATATGAAATCAGCAAAAAATCTTTGGTTTCAAAAAATTCTACATGAACTGAATGAAACTTGGAAAAAAAGAAAAGAAACAATGACTTACTTCAGGATAATCAGTCAAAATCAGGCAGTACAACTCAGCAGTAGACACCACAGCAAACTTGACTTCCAGTGGCATTCCTTGCAACTCAAACTTGGTCTCTTCAGACAACTCAAACTGCCTCAGTTCAGGATTGTACCAATAGAACATGAGCCTTGAGTCTCTGCCACCATCTTGAGACACTGCAACCACCATTCTGAGAGTGCCCTCAAACCTCACCATGTCCACAGCCCTGCAACTGCCACCCTTGAAATTCAGCTCCTGCAATTTGTCCACCCTCAAGGAATCTCCCTCAGGTTGGATCCTGTAGACTGGGGAATCTGGGTAGTAAATCTCTGCTTTTGACTGACAAATTGCCAACAGCTGAAACCTGTGCACAAGGAATTCATTCTCAGTTCAGGTGAACAGCAGACTCATAGAATAAAATAAAATTGGATTGAAAGGGCATGGATTTCAAAAACAAATTGACCACAGGTTGGGGAACACTGATCTAGAAAATATTGCATGTGACATTGTCTTGACCACTTCACAATTTGACCCTATTCCAGCAAAATGGACCAGGGTTGAAGTGTGGGGTACCATCTGCATACAAATAACTTGTCAAGGAATGGATTCGCTTTAATATTCAGGATTGCCAACAATTTTATATTCCACCATTGTGCCACTTACTCAGCAGTGGAGTTTTTGAAAGTGGCAGTTGCTCCATCAACAGCCCCCAGAGTCTGAAAAGCAGCCAGTTGAGAGTTGAACATCCCAGCAGGTTCATCCAGTTCCCAAATAACACTTTTTGCTCTAGGACTTGCAGAAGTTGCACCATACTCCAATGCAAGAACCAGAGTGTGTCCAGCAATTTTTATCTGCACCAGCTTATTGTTTCCAAATTCAGACGTGAGTCCATTCAGCAACCTTGCAGAATCCAGGGCAGAAGACAATGAGTACAATGTGCTTCCAAAGTGTTCATTTTGGTGTTTCCCATGAGCAACCATGAGATAGTTGACATTCGGTGCTTGGGAATAGATGAGAGTCACATCTCTGAGGGTTAAAAAAAAGGTTAATGAAATGGCAATAATATTGGATATCTAAACTCACTTGCAGGCATAACACTCCACTGAGAACTTCTTGTTGCAGCCATCAGAGCCCACAGAGTAAACATGCACTTCAGAAATGTTTACAGAATTTGGAAAACCAATAACAGCAACAGATCCATCCTGCAGACTGACAACTTTGCTGGCTTCAGTGGGAATTGAGCAAACTCTTGAATAGTGACTGAAAGCAATGGCCTGAGGAGCTGCTACATTCCTGGCATAGTCCAGTAGTTTGCTTTGCACTGCCTTTGCCTTACCTATGATCTGCAATATTTCAAGAACAACAACATTAGAATGCTGAAATAGAATAAGACATATTTTTGCAGAAATGATCTGAAACACTAACACTTTCAAAGTCTGAAGTTTCTTGCATAAGTTCTTTCATGTGTCTCACAGCTGGTGAATGGATCTTGAGGTTCTTTGTCACCAACTTCCCCTTTAGTTCCACAGGTGCAGTGAATTCCACTTTCTTAGCATTTTTCTCCACCAAAGATGAGTTGTACAAGTTGTTGTCTTGGAACTTTTTGAGTGTCATGTTGTCCACACTGAAATTGCCTTCCACCATGAGGTCATTCAGCAGTGTGAAGTTATCATCTCGCTTCCAGACTCTCTGGCTTTGGATGTTAGTTCCAGATACAGTGGCATCATTACTTGTCCACACATTGTCAGCAATGACCTTGGACATGCTGACATTGGACAAGGTAACACCATCCTGAAAAACAAAATTGCAGTTCAAGTGTGGACAATACTTTTTAAATGAAAATATGCCAATGTTTTTGATTTGCAGCTGCAGTATCTGCATGAATAACTTTGGATGGGTATAGACGAACATCAAAGTATTCCCAATTATATTTTAAATATTGAAAAATCAGTTGATGAGCTCAAGAGAGGACAACACAAGTTGACAATTCAGCAAAATCTCAGAACTACACAAATATACTGGGACTTGAATTTTTTTATTGATATTTTGTTATAAGATTTTCAAAATTTTTGTTAGGGAAAATTGTTTGAAATCAATAACCTGCATATATCCAAGATTTCATTTGTTTGCATTTTTCAGAAGTGTTTCATAAAATCATGAACTTCAAAAATAAATTCAAATATCAGTAAAATTATTCATGAATTCTACAAGTAGACTACAGCACTTTTTGTGGACTTGGATTTCTGCTTAGCAATTTCTGGATAGTAAGGGTGGATAAAAGCTCACAGCTGTTGTTGGGCATCATTAGGGTTTTTAAGCATCTAAATTCTAAACAAGTCCCATTCCTCTTTCAGCATGAGTTTCACCAGTATCATTTTTCAAAATCTAGATCACAGGCACAGTCACATATTGAATGGAAAAATTGAAACTGTGCCTGCCTTAATTGGGATTTTATTTGGAAAAATCACATGTTCCTCAAAACCTTGATATTGTACTGGGATTGGAAAGTTTGTTATAACAAGACTTTTATTGCATGTACCCTATAAGATTTCTTTTGGGATTTGACAATAAAGAGTTTGTTACACTGAAAATTTTCTTTTCACGGTATTTGTTGTAATGAGATTGTACTGTATTTGAAAATATGAAAGCTAATACTCACTGGCTCACTCAAGTCTACAGCAGTGTCAAGGAATTCATGAATATCAATCCCAGATAATTTCCCATCATCCACATGCAGGTTATGAATATAAGCAGATTCCAGCTCCACTGGGCAATTTAAGGTCATTGGTTGCCCCACAGACAACAGTTGCTTGTTCACATCAAGGTTATTCATAATGCCAGCATTCACATTCTTGAACTTGCAAGCACCAACAGTCACAGGATGCTCCACAGCTAATCCTGCTCCAGAATGTGTCAAACATCCAGAGAGGAGATCCTTCAGCTCTTGGCCATTGACTTTGTTTGTCACTATGACAGCAGAGTCCAGCAAAGTGTCTTTCACCTCCACTTGGTCAAAATGACAGTCTGCAGTGATATTTTGTGGGGTATCCTGGGAGTGTTTCAGGCTGTTCTTGAGCAGGGAAGGCAAATTCACTCCTGCAATTGTGTCCTAGGAATATGACAAACAATCTTTGATACCAATTGTTGGCAAGTGATGAACTTTCAACTACTTGGCAACCCTGCAATCCTCCAAGTTAATTTCTACAAAAATATTTGAAAAATGCATGCAAAATTCCATGGTACATAATCAGAAAGAAAAGACTTCAGCACCTTTCAAGAATTGTGTTATTTCTTCTTCAAATATCCTTTTTTTACAGTCACATCTTCAGATATTGGCCAAAAACAAGAAAATGTCATTTTTGTATGGAATAGCATTTTTGTTCTGAATAAGACTCAATAAGGCAGTCACAAAATATAAAAATGAAGAAATAGTTCTACATTTCTTTACCAATTGATTAAAATTAGTAAACCACACTTTTTCAACACGAAGATTAGAAATGCATGGAATAACTTTGGTTCAAGTCAATAACTCAGGTCAAATGAAAAGGGTTGAAGGAACTGAGTTCATCATGAGTTTTGCAGATTTGATGAACTTTCAGTTGCTGGTTTTAGAGGCTTCCAAAAGCAGAGTGTTTTTGAAAAACTCACATTCTCAATCTTGGATGCTGACAAGTTGTGGATGGTCATAAATTCAGTGAAGTTGGCTGGCCTTGAGTTGTACCAAAGCTTGTCCAAGATTTGAACATCCACATTGTTCAACAATTCTTTCACTGTGACATTATGCAACCTCAAATCACCTTGATGAAGTAAACAATATCAAAATAGCAATTGATTTATGACTGAAGAAATACTTTCCAAGATTTCAGAAATATCCTTACCAAAGATGGACACAGTTTGCAAGGAGCTAAAGTTGGAGTTTGCAAAATCACACACTTCATCAATCCTCTTATTTTGGATGGTGGCATTTGAGAGATTGATCTTTCCATCAAAACCCACTCCTCCAACCATGTGCACAGGGGATTCAAAGGTCAGGACTTTGTCAGATTTCTTCAAAACCTCAGCTGGGAAGTTTATTCCATTTAGAGATCCTTCCAGATGCACTCCAGGGGCTTCAACAGTTCCTGTCAGGAAATATGTAAAATAATTCATAACACTAGCAAGCATACATGCTAACAGTAACATATGTTAAGAGCTGGTTGAGGTGGTGCCATACAATTTAACGCTAATCCCTTGCTGGACTAGGGTCATATTGCAAAGCAACATCAAATGCAATGTTTTCTAAACATTTTATTTGACATTTTTGCCCACATCCATGGGTCAAATTACGGGGCCTATGTTGAATGCCAATTCAGCCTCTCAACAAATATGACAATTGAATTTTGGGATGTTTGAATTGCGGGAGGTCAAATTGCAAGGTACCATCTGTACAGTACATGTAAATTCTACAAACATGAAAGAACCCCCATCATGATGAAAAAAATCAATTATGGTTGAAAGTTAATGGACATCAGGGTCAAGTGCTCAAAACTCACCAAAGGAAGCTCCAGCATTAATGACACATTTTTCTGCTCCAGTGCAAGCAACCAAATCATCCTTGATTTTATTGACAGGAAACCCAGAGACCTTTTGGTCCCCAGTTGAGACTCCATGAGGGGCTCTGACTTCACCACTAATTTGCACATTGCCAGTGAATACATGGTCCTTGCTCACTTGCCAGAGGTTGTCAGGGAAGCCAGTCATAGAGATACCATCCAGAAAATCAGTTACCATGCAATTCTGAACAGTCACATCTCCAGAAAATGTGACCAAAGGTGTGCGGCACAATTTATCACCAGTGGTGCAAATAGGACCAATGGTTTCAGCAAGTTCTGGGTATCTCAGATTGTGTACTTGCAAATGACCAGCAACTGTTGTTTTTGCTTCTACTTTTTGGGGTGCACAACTGTCACTTCCTGTGGATAAAATCAAAATATGCATCAATCATCAAACTGGAATGAATCATGTTCAATTTTTTTAAATCTTAACATCACCATAAAAGAGAGAACAGATGTACAAGAAATGAGTCCTGTACAAATACTTTCAATTGAACAAACATGCACATCCATGTTCCAAATTTGGTTTTATTTTTGACCGGTTGTTTAAAATTAATTTGCATATCTGGGTGAAGTACTGTATATCAACAGCACAGAATGAAATATTGATCACATTTCCATGTATAATTATATTGCTTGATAAAGTCAAACTTATTTAAAGAAATTATAAGCACAGGGGTTGAATTCTTCATCCAAATGTATGAATTATTATCCACTCAGATGTTCAACTAGTTCAAGAAAGAAATTCTCACCTGGTATTCTGGTGTACAGGGTATTCTTGAACAAAGTGTCGGGCTGATTGTTGAGATTTCCACCAGAATGGTCCACTTTTACAATACTCAAGCCTCTCATGAATTTCATCTTGGGATTTGTCAGGGTTCTCCTTCCATTCAGCACAATCTCTGGTAATTTCATTGTAGCTGTATCCATGACCAAGTCTTGAAGCATTATGGTTTCTGCTGTAACACTGTAAAACAATTGATTGCATGCATGAGGTAGCCAAAGGGTTGACAAATAAAATGAAAGTACTTCTTGGCAGTCACTCCATTCAAGAAGACTAGAGTGGAATTGCAGACTTGGTCTCCAGTTTTCATCAACCACTTGTTGCAGTAATTTTTGCAAGGCAAGTCATTGATGGTGTCAGTGATGTTGACGACATTGTGGGCTGCTGCTGGTCCAGCAAAGAATTTTTGACCAGAGATTTCAGCAGGAGTGTCACCCATGTTCAGCACGAAATCACTGGATGGTATATTGTTCAAGGTTTCCACCATAAGGTTTTCAATCTGCAGGCAAACAAATTGGCATCATTTTTGAATATGCAAAATGTTACACTGAATTCACCTTGCTATTGTTGCCCTGGATGATAACCTCTTTGAAAGTCACTGAACCCATGGTCTTGAGAGGGACACAGGTTTTAAACAATTCTTCCCAATTAACATCTGATGTTGCTTCAGGACTCCGCACCAAACTTCCATTTGAAAGCAAGTTTTTCACAATCAAAGTCCCTGAAAAAAATGCATGATAAAATAACAACAAAATCCCATTCTGGCAAGGTGACTTACTGAATTCTGTAGGATGTTTTCTTTTCTGTGCTTCCGCAGCCAGATTCTTCAAGCTTAAGTTGTTGGTCAAATTATCCACAATGATATTTCCTAGTGATTGAGCATTTTTGATGTGTACTTCAGTCTCAACAGGATGAGTTTCTGAGCCACAACTTGATCAGTTAAAGAAAATGAAAATGAGAATAATGAATATCATGCATGTGTAAGTTTCAGACTTACTCATCAACTAAGCAAATCTTCAGAGTGCTGTTGTCAGTCTTGAATCCATTCAGAGAGGATTTCACTACAAGGCCTCCATGAACTGTGACTTCATTCAACCACAATTCATCCAGCTCCAGAATTCTATTGGCTGAGAAATTTTCCTTTCATCATGCAAATTTCCATGTTTTGAAATAATTTTCAGAACTCACCAGAGTTTTCAGTTCCCGAATTGAGTTGGAAGTCATTGACCACAAAATGATCCACTTCAATATTGGAAGCAGACCATTCCTGAACTTTCCCAGGTTCATTGGATTTCAGAAGGGAATTACTCAGCAGGGTTTTTGGATTCACTCCACAAATCTCTTCAGTCTGAAAAACAAAAGGAATCAATTTTTTTCTAATGGGGAAATTGTACTTTATTTTCAAAATTTTAGATGATGCTGAGAATTCTGGGTTGAGCATCAAGATAAAATAAGGTAAACTAAAGGTCATCAGATCGAGTTCAAGGAATTGGATTGAAAAATTAGCCAAGGTTTCATGCAAGCAACTGAGGTCATTCATTTGGATAAGAAAATTTGGATAAGTTATCATGTTGAGAACAGTTGAAGCCAAAATATCTGTATTTGCTTCATTGTCTCATTGACTTGAATTTTCCATTTTCATATTTTGAAAATCATGAAAAATATACCATTGTCCGGAATTTTTGAAAATACTTCAATTTCTTTCAAATAGCAAATCACCTCCAGGATGTCAACTTTCAGAGCAAGTGCATCAGCAGAGGCAGCACTGAATATCAAGGGTGTGGCAACAAACACACGCTCTTTGCTGTTGAGTGGCACTGCATCATCCAATGTTTTAGCTAATGAAATGTTGTCCACATTGTCAATCTGTAGATCCTTTTCCACCACTAGGTTGGGAGTTGTGGCAGAAGGGAATTCCAGGTGTGGAGATGAGCAATCTGCAAGCTGTGACATCTTTGCTTTGTCCCAGAGTCCTTTGATGGTGGCATCCTTGTTGATGTGCACCACATTTTGGAAATGTACCATATGACTGGTAACCTTTTGAAAGACCAAGGAAAAATGTGAAAAATCTTTCATGAATGTTACATGCTTACTCAAATCCTCTGCACTTTGCGTGGGCTAAGGTCAAATTGTGAAGCGGTCAATTTGCAAGACAAGTTCAAATTGTTTCATTTTGCATCTCTTTGCAGGCCAAATTTTGAGGCAGATTCTAGCTTACAACCTGTTCTTCCAGCAAATTGGATTGACAAATTGCAGGATAGACAAATTTCACGATGTCAAATTGTATGCTATCACCTGTAAAAGGAATAACTGTTTATTTGAAGTACATATGTTCTTTAAATAATTTGAGCAAGTACAGATTACCATAAATATCATTGATTGACAAGGTGAATTTTGAATTCTGGAATTGCAGCCATATTCTGTCCATGATTACATTAAACAAGTTAATCTTCAAATTATAGAACTTGTCAAAAAATTCTTCCACAGGATTTTGGAAGGACCCTGGGGATAGCAGCCAAATTGAAATTATTGAAGCATTTGTAAAGGTTAATGCATCTGAACTACTCACCAAATATAAATTACACAAAGCACATTCAAACTTTAAGAAAATGTTGTGCAGTATATTACTGCATTCAAAAAATAGTAGTTCAAATTGGTTTTCAAAAATAGCCAAACGTTTTTTAGATCCTTGCAAATATTCAAAAATTGCATTGCCCTGAAATCATATACAGTTTCAGAATCAACAAAAAATTATAGATTGAGATGAAGCTGGGTTGGAAAAAGTTACAAGCCTTTTGTTAACAAAATGAATGACTGCATAAACTTCTAAAAGATTTTATTTAATTGAATAACAAGCAGCATCATTCATGATGAATACTGAAAACAAATCTACTTTTGTTTTTCTTACAAAACGATCAATACTGAAAACAAATCTACTTTTGTTTTTCTTACAAAACTGTAAAATAGATGGACTTACCTCATGATCTCCAGTTTTGGTCAATAAATCTCCAGTTGGGACTCCATTCAAGAAATTTGTCACTAAAGATGGAACAGCCAAATTTTTAAACTGAATCTCATCAAAGGTGTAATTATGATCCTTCAAGACAATGTGCTCCAAATTTGCAGCAGGTTCCCCATTGATCATTTTAGGTTTGATATCTGTGATGCTGTTACAGATTTCCTTGTGAGCATTGTCAAGACAATTGATGTTCATGTTGCTGATTTCCACTGGAGTGCTGATTTCTGCAGTTGTCATACTAGAAGTTGCATTTTGCACTTTCCTCAGTTGCGTTTTCAGCTGCTTTCCAATGCGCTGCAAAAGCCTCAGGCTGCTAGACTGCTTTTCATTCCATGTCTTCTCTTCTGAGGTTTTTGGCTTGTCCACTGTCAACTGCAAAACAAGACAACATTATAATGTTAACAATTGAAAAATTTTCAAAGAAATGTAGACCAACAGCTCTGGTGTACAAATGCCCAATATTAGCTGATTGCAGGGCACAAGTTCCTTCAATCTCCAAATCATTCCCATTACGTTTTGGCAATTTGGCAACAGCTTCTTGCATTCTTGTCACATTCACATTCTTCTTTAGATCCTCAGTTACTCTCTGGCAACTCAGGAGAGTGGAAGCTAGAAAGTTCTGCACATCCTGCTTGGCCTCAAACTGCATCTTGAAGACATTTGGAGCCTTGGTGCTTCTTTCCACTGTTGAGCCATCACTGAATGCATTTGCAGCAGCTTTAAAAAAAAGGAACATGAACATTGGTCCACTGACTTGTGAAATTCGTATAAGATGATTTGATAATTTCAATCAAGTAGAATAGAATCATTTTCTCATTATTATCCAATCTTTGCTCCTTGTGTTGTGAAAAAATAGAGAAAATTCCCTGGATTTTAAAATGTATTTAGAATTCTTTTAAAGCTTCCAATGACTTGAAGTGACTAAAAGGGGTTCTTTTCAATCATTCCATGTAACTGGAAAAATTCTTCCCAAGAAAAAATGTTTTAAATATTTTCAGATTTTGATTCAGAGTAGTTCAACAGGAATTTTCATCAGCAGACAGAACACCATTAAATCAGCAATTAAATTCAGAGACAATTCTTCCAGATGTTAAGAATTTTTACAACCCATGAATAACTCACCAAGAAAAGTGTCCCCATTGGACAGGTGAGTGATGGTGACTGAGTTCAAGCCAGGTGATATGTTGTCAGCTGTCAGTGGTTGTTGCATGGGTGCAAACTTCCAACCATTGTACACAAAGCACTCAAGACCATTGGTCTTCATTGCAATGCAAATCACAGGTTGCTCAGTCCCTGGGATTTCTGGCAGTGTTACCAATCTGCCCACATCCAAAACTTCTAGGCACTGGAAAGGGAACCAGTATCCCTGGCCATCCCAGGCATAGATGACCAACTTGGGGATCTTTCTTTGGTGATTGCTTGGTTCTGTGCAAATTATTAAACAAATTTTGATTTAAAACGAATGATAAATTATCCATATTGACTGAAATTGAATGAAGCAGCCAAATACCATCAATGACTGTCTCATGTGTGCCAAAAATCAGCAAGTGTTTGGAGTCATCCAGAGTCCCTGAACTGCCAGAAACTTTAGTGTGTTCCACATCAAAAGCTTGATCAGTGAGGAAGGTTTGGTGCACCTCCAGTTTGCCCAAAGCTGGGTTCCATTGCCAGCACTTGGACAATACTTTGGTGTTGCCAAAATCATCCTGTGCATTGGCTGTGCAAACAAACTGAGTGAGTCCTATTTTGAATGCTGTGATGCCAACTGCTCCTGTTGTGGTGAAAGTGCTGATACTGTCCACATGGGTCTCATAAAACTCATAGACATTGGACTCCAGGGTGTATTTTGTTATGCCTGTGGAATCATTGGTGACTCTGTTGCTTGCAAAGGCTAGGTATGTCTTGGCTGTCACACCTTCACCAATTGACCTGCAGAGAAAATTTCTGAAACTGCAGACCAGTGTTTCTCAATTCTTCTTGGGCCCACAGACTGGCAAAATTTTCAATATTTTTTTGCGGACCAGCAAATTTGTGAAACATTTTTCAGACTCAAAAATTTGTTTCTTGCAAAATTCAAGAAACAATGAAGCAACTATAGTGCAATGTCTTCAGAAAATTAGAAAGGTGGCCATGAAAATAAGTTCATCACAATGAAAAAAGGATCATTTCATGAATAAAAATAGGTCTGGCTTACGTTCTTTTCACGAGAAAAGTCAACATTTAATTTTTCATCAGATAATTTCAGCTGCCATTGCCTTTCCAAAATTTCAGACAAAAATAACTGACTTCATTGCTTTGTTGATAAATTTAATCTGCTGTAGAAAATGTCAACTGGATGAAAATTTTCAAGGATCAGCACTGGTCTGAGGACCAACAGGAGGGGAACACTGTTGTACGGTATACTTTTTCTTGAAAATGATTCTTATTTCAGTTGAAAATAATTCTAAAATAAAGATTTGGAGCAAAATAAACCAGAGTCCAGTGAAAATTGCTTCAGAGACTTCAAATTACGTCATTGGCCAGTAATATTCTGTGACTTTGAAAGTGGACTGAAGCTGTATTTTTCAACAATTCCTTCTTGACATTCAGTAATTAACCAAAAAAACTTCAAAACCTATAATTGGAAATGTAGGGCATCATCATGAAACTATCTATAAAATGAAAATTCTATCCAAGGAACCAATACAAATTTGGATCATCACCGTTTCAGATTTTTCAATGAATTCCTACATCCACTTCATGCTATAAAGGAAAGGTTTGCACATATAATGAATCCCCTTGTTCTCAATGTCCAATTCAAATTGGAGTTCAATCACCTTTGCAGTCTTCTTGAGTGAAAATTCTTCCAAGAACTATGAATGATTTAATTTGTCAGTATTGTATAAATTTGGAATTGGACTGAAGCTAACTTTTTGCACAAGAAATCCATCTTAACTTTCAGTAAATGGACAAAAACTCGCCCAACATCATTATTGGAAATACTGATCATAGTAATGTACATTTTTAGAAAATCAAAGTGCAATTGATTCTCATTGATAACTGCTTGAGACTTCTTAGAAGAACTCACCAACTTGCAACATCCACTCCATGACTAACAGGCAAGGTTTGCACATAACGAATCCCATTTTTCTCAATATCCAACTCAAAAACTGGAGTTCCACCATTTTTGCAGTCTCCTAATTGACAGTTGACATCCTGAACAGCAATCAAATATACTCTAGTGCCAACCAGGACAGGCCAAAACATGACAGTATTGTTGGCAATAGCACCAGGTATTCCTGCAATTTCTTCAAAAAGGTCAACTTGGCCAGGATTGGATAGTGTGTCCAGGGCTTGTGGGTTTAGTTTGTGGATGGTAGCTGTTTGTGAGCCACTTGTGCCTGTTGCTGCAAGGGCATACACCTTGTTCGGCTCAGTCTCAAAAATTTGCAAGTGAAGTGCATTTTTTACTTGGATGCCAAATTCTCCCTGGAGTCCTGTGAACACTTTTACACCTGTTTCAAAATGAGAAGAAATTGAATAAGTTTGTCATGATCATTGTTGTTAACCCTTGTGCAGCAAATTCAGGATATTTTCTTTAAATTGTGTATCCATGAGGGTTATTACTGAAAAAAATGATTTTTCAACCAATGACTATGTCAGGATAAAGTCCGAAATTAGTTTATTGCCCTGCAGACAATTTTGGCTCAGAAATAGAAAAAAAAACTCTCCATGGGTGACATTTTCATGCATTCCCAGGATAGAATCAACATTGGGGATTTCTTTTGAGACAAAGGGGATTTCTGCACCCAGATTTTTCCAAACTTAGGCTTTGGCAACCTGGGGAAATTCCAGTGAATTTCAGTCAAACTGAAATGCCCTTCCTCCAAGAAAATCCTGACTCAGCCTCAGAATGGTCAGGGACCCTCTGCCATACCATTTAGCCCCTTGCAAAATTTTTTTTTCACAATCACAAGCATATTGCATTTTGATTGTAGATACATTTCTTCATGCATTGCAATATTAGTGATTGCACATTACTTGATTGAAGGCCTTTGATTGTACTTAAAATGGGGTTAGAACTGATATAATCACAATCGAACCCAGTGTCAAATAACTGCAGCAGTGGAAACATTGTTCTTGAACAAATCGATTGAAATCATGATCAAAATTCAATGAAAATGATGAACTTCTTTCATCAAATATGTAAGTTGTAGATTGAAGAAGATATATGTATTTTTATGGCTTCAACATCAGTCAGGTTCTCAAAGCAAGAAGCTTACAACAATTTAAAGCTGGTAATTGTACTTGAAAGGGGTTGGGTATTATTTCAAGGGAATCATACTTCAGAAAAGCCATGTTGCTTCATTCATAATTTTTATTACTTTATTCCTCTACCAATAGCAAATGTTCTTTGTTTCTCTCTGGTGAGAATTCATATGGAATAAGAAAAGATTGTGATTACTCCTGTGATTTCAGTTGGGTATTAATACAAATAAATACCTTGCAATTGGGATTGGAAATTGAAAACATTAGTGCCTTGGATTGGCAATTTTGATGGGGAACAATTATCTTGTTGGAATGCAATTAGACTTGGGCAAATAACTTTTTGATTATGATTAACAACGCTGGTCATAATGTACTTGAAAAGGAGCGACATTTTAATTTCATTTTTAAAAAGTAAAAAAAATACAAGTAAAGTAATGATATATTATTTTGATCCTTTCTGCTTTTGATAATTTGGAATGACTCACTTCCCTCAAGGGCTGGGATGTTTCCAGAAGCTTCTCTTTTGGTCCTTTCAACCTGTTTTTCTTGCCAATCCGGAATGTGGGTCCTCAGCAATCTTTCTTTGTAATTTGCAACCAAATCATCCACGTCTCTTTTCGCCTTCAGCAGCAATTCTTAAAATCCAAAATTTTTGAAAGAACAAGCAACAAAGCCTAGTCAAATGGTCCGTAAGAATGATAACATGAACTTGATTAAGTCTCGAAATCAAAGTGAGTTCTGCTAATTTCCAACAAAAAATAGCATTGGTTTTCTCGTTTTAAAAATTCATCTCTTTTCTTTTTGAATTTGTACAATTTTTTTCCCAAATTCGGTTTTTTTTCTGGAATCAATTGAATTGTTGAGCTTCCAATCGACTGAAGGTTCAACATCATGAAAAGCTTGATCAAAGTTGCAAATTTCAATTTTTGAAAATTTCGAATTTGTTTTTCACAAATTCAAGAATTTCTCGAATTTTTAAAAAATTCAAGAATTGCGAAAGGAATTTTGAAAATTTAAAATTGCAGAAAATTTCAAAAATGTGAAAATTGCAAAAAATTTCAAAAATGTGAAAATTGAAAAAAAAATTTCAAAAATTCAAAAATTGCAAAAAATTTCGGAAATTGTAAAAAATTTCAAAAATTTAAGAATTTGATTTTTTTATTGGCAAATTTCAAAAATTTAAGAGCTTCAATTTTATTATTCCAATGCTGCCACTGTCAAAGATTGATCGATAATTTCAAGAAGAATCCTTTTTTATTCTAAATTATGCAGATTATAAATGAGTCTATGCATAAATTTAACAATAATTAAAGCTTTTGTTTTTTTAAAAATTAAACTCACGTTTGGCTTCGAACGGATTTGATGACATCTTCCCAAGTATTTCTTCCAGAGCTCCTGAAGGCCATTGAAATTTCGGCAAATTGCCTTCATTGGCAGCAGAAATCGGAGCACAGTTCGCAATTTCCATCGACGAGAAAATGGCGAAAATGCACCATAAAAATGCTGGATATTCCATGATTACTTCCTCTGATAAAATATTCAAAAAACACCGAAAATTCGAAGAGAATTTTCGGAATTCAACGAAGAATCAGCAACACTTGAATTTGCAAACGGGGGAAACAAAATTTGCACTGATGCGTTCTTTCGCCAAAAGTGCGAGGAAGAAACTGGGGAAATTATTCTTCGCTAATACGATGGACACTGGTTTTCATGCGAGACACAAAACTGGTTTTTTTGTGGAATATTCCGTAGCTTTTTCCACATGATTTTGAAGCGGGTTTTTAAATGATTTCCGATAAAAAAAAAGGACTTGCTCGAAATTAACCGGTTTTTTGCGGTTTTTTTTCGTAACCGGAGAAAAAAAACGAATCGGCGGAAATTGAAGGAAAGTTCCTTTCGAACTTGTTTCACATTTTTGACTGGGATTTGACATTTTATTTTTGTGGATCAATTATTCGAACAGAAAATCTCTGAAACTGGACAATATTCAAATTGACTTTTTATAGATCAATCATTTCTTCGAAGAAAGGCTTCCTTTTAAAAATTTCGGCCAAATTTGATGCAATCTTTATCATGTAAACTTAGGAACCGTAATTGAAAAATGAACCGTAATTGAATCAACAATTTGCATTTCTTCCAGAAGTAAATTTATTTGAGCACCTAAAGCTTATTTTTTTCACAAGGTCGATACATTTCGCAGTATTTCATGAAATTTTTTTCCTCTACCAAAATAAAACAAAACTTTAAAACCAGTAAAATTTCAAATTTTTATCAAGACGATGGAAAACCGACATATGTACCTTGGCTTTTTTTATTCATGCATTTGAAGAAAAAGCGAATTTTAAGCAAGAGTTTTTTCACTTCCCTGCAAAACTTTCGAAGCTCACTTCAAATAATCGCACACACGAATGATGAACTCAATTGAAGACAATTTCCGACTGATTGTGAAACACTCGGGTGAACCGAAGAAAACCGGGATTACATCTTTGAAAGTGAGGTGAAAAAAAGGAATAACTTCCCGAGTTTCCTGTCGAAGGAAGTGGTTTTCCTTGAACAAACCCACACCTTTTTCGGATGAAAAAAAAGCACGATCAGCAGAAAATTGTTTTCCTTTTTGCTAGATTCATTTCAGTGCAAAAAATGAATAGAATAAATCGATGAATTTTATTTTATTCGAGTGTTTTCGACTTGCAGCAAAAGTGGGCGGTTTTCTGCGCCATCAAACAGCAGAAAAATGAACATGTTGGAGCACTTCTAGAGTTTTTCCACCTAGAGGTCGCTCCTGAAAAAAGGACGAAAAGCTCTTCCTGAAGTAGGTAACTTATATTTGCTGCCATTTCAAATCATTCTCTCCTGAAGCATCCACTTCATACTAAAAAAAAATATATTCATAAGACACTTGTCACAACCCAATCAGTCAACCATTGGCTTCACAAAGGTTTTCTGTTTTCATTGTTCAGAATTCTAGAATCCTTGCGGTTGGGAGAGAAATGAATCATTTTCCTCCTCCTCCACCTTGCATCCATAGTCTGTAGTACAATCCTTTGAGCTGCAACAAGTCAGCATGTTTTCCTGACTCTGAAACCTTGCCTTGATGGAAAACATAAATCATGTCTGCATTCTGAATGGTGGACAGTCTGTGGGCAATTGTGATGCATGTTCTCCCCTTCTGAGCTGAGTCCAGGGCTTCTTGAACAACCTTTTTCACTTTCTGAGTCAAGAGCTGAAGTGGCTTCATCCAGCAAAAGAATGGCTGGGTTTCTCAGCAGGGCCCTGGCAATGGCAACCCTTTGTTTTTGGCCTCCACTCAGCTGGGTTCCTTTGTCACCTACCCTGGTTTCATAACCCTAGTGTAGAAAATTTAAAGAATTTTTCAATATATACTAGCTTCAAGTCATGTTTCAAAGTGATGATCATGTCCAGTCAATCACACTTGCTTTGGGTAGACTTGTGATGAAGTTGTGGATGTTGGCACTTTTGGCTGCCTCAATGATTTCTTCCATTGGAACTGTCCTGTAGTTGTCCCCATAGGCAATGTTTTCTGCTATAGACCTATCAAACAAAATTGGCTCTTGACTCACAAGACCCAGCTTGGATCTCAGGCTGGAAATGTTCAGGTCTGTGATGTTGTTGTCCTCCACGTTCTGAAAAATCCATCAGATCTCTATACTGAGACTCTCATAGCTCAAAAGAATTTGAAGCCTACCACAGAGCCTGAAGATGGGTCATAGAATCTTTCCAACAACTGGATGGTGGTTGATTTACCACACCCCGAACTTCCAACAAGCGCAATGGTCTTGCCTGCTTGTATGTCCAAACACAGTTTCTTCAGGATTTGAGCATCAGGTCTTGAAGGGTATGTAAACTCTACATCTTTGAAAGCCACCCCTTTTTCAACACCTTGCTGCAATTGAAATAAGGAATAACTTGCAGTTGTGCTTTCCATGCATACTGTGTATTCTCCAATAAATGCCCCAGTGTTTATTTAAAATTTTCAATGTTCCAGGTCCTTGGCTTTCAATATAGAGACTACTGACAATTAATATTAATATCCAAGATTAGGCCAAGATTAATTTCCAACATTTGTAACTGTGGAAAAAAGTGAAACAAAAACTAGGACAACACTTAAGACAAGGAAAACATAAAACTGAAGGGTGACTAAGATGATTTACTCTGTCCTTACATATTCCGTTAAGACTTCCCTTTCCCAAAGTAAGAACTCACAAGTTACGATCTAACACCTTTTCTAATGATCGTAGTTGTTTTAATTTATAAACAACAATATTATAATTGTTATCATCAGAAATTATGATTCTTTTCTGATGAAACAATTTTTAACTCAATTTTGAACTCTTGAAGAGAGAGGAAAAGAGCAAAACGTAGCAATTGAATAAAATAAACTTATTTAATAATATTCCCCCCCCCCCCCCCCTGCTTTTCTTTGGCCTGAATTAGAGGCCAGCTACTATTCCCTTGAGCACACTTTGAGACCTGGAGTATATCAGAGCCCAGCATCTATTGGACACCAATAATTTAGTGGAGAGTTTATGGTATTTCAGAAAAAACCTCACCAAATTCTTTCCAGAATTATCAGAGGGGTCAATCAAAGTCTTCCTGTCCAACAACTTGAACACTCTGGCAGAGGACACCATTGCTCCATCAAAGTTGGGAGCAAATGCCAGGGCCTGGCCAACCACAACAGTGCAAGCTATCAATGCCTCTGAAACCCTGGAAAAATCAACACATTTTGAAGTCACAATAGAACCTCCACTTGTGCCAGATACAAATGATAACATGCAATTCAACCTCAATCTATTGCCGCACAATAAAGGGTGAAAGTAAAAATTTGTTACTGTGTAAAATTAAGCAAGAACAGCACAAAAACATTGAAAGATAAAGTGACTGAAGCAAGGCAACTTATTTGGCAGAGGTCAAAATATGAGTCAACCTTCCAGCAAATTCAACTATCAAATTGCAGAATGGACAAATTGTTGGAGGGCAAATTCCAAAGCACAGACTGTATCGCTATTTCTCACTTGAAGACACTAGCATAGTCCAGACCATCATCCTCAATTAACTTGCCCCCGTAGAACATAGTGGCAGCATATGCAAAGAAGGGCACACTTTGGGCCAAGCCAAAGATGGCTCCTCTGAGGTGAGCCTTCTTTGTAGCAGCTTGATGAGGTTGCAGCAGGGCAGCCATATAAACTTTGTGGAAGTACTGTTCTCTTCTTAGTCCTGCTACTGTCCTAATGTTTCCAATGGCCTCAACTGCTGCCTGAATCATTAAACAAATTTCACCTTCACTGAAGGATTTACTGAGACAAAAAAAAAACCTGAGAAAATATTGAAAATGTAATTGGCTTGAAAATTACACTAACTCACCTTGCTGCTTTTCTCTAGCTGCTCTTTTTCCAGAATATTCTGCCCAAAAACAATTTTTGACTGGTAGTATGTGGAAATCACTACAAAGGGAACAAAGGCAATCACAACCAGACCCAATTTCCAGCTGTAGTAAAGAGACAAGCCAATCCCACTGCCAACTGAGGCCAAAGACTGTGTAACTGTGCCAACTCTTGAACCAGTGGCCTGTTATTAAAAAGCATTTTGAAAAAAAATCAGTCAGTAGTTATGAATATGACCAAAAAGTTACCCCTTGAATACTTGAAGCATCTGATGCCAATCTGGCACACAAAGCTCCAGTTGAGTTTTCTTCCATGTCAAACCAACCCATTTCCTGTCTCAGCATAGTTCCAAAAACCAACTTCCTGATGCGCATTGTTAACTTCTCTCCAGCTATTCCAAACATGAAGACCTAATGCAAAATTGGGTTATGAAAGAGTGCAAAAGTCATTTTCATGTTGAATAATGTTATCCTAAGTTGTCAAAGTTGATCAAATGAAGAACCGAACTATGTTAGAAATCTATTTTACTGTAGGTTCTTATTTCACTTCAAATTTGTATCTGTTAGAAATAATGCAAATGAGAAGGTTTTGGTTTGTATTGCTGGTGCTTTGCAAATGAACAAGACTTCTCTTTACAATGGCAAGGTGTGAATAAATATATATATTTCCCATAGCAACATACTTCAGCAAATAATACCAGACCAACAATGAGTGGGTAAAGAAGTGTTAAGAAAAGTCCTTAACAGATTCAGATATTACACAAGAGCACTACATGACTGCTCATAAACAGTAATGGAACCAGGACAGGCAAAAGGTGAACAACTGGTGACCAGACACTGTGATGGAACAATTTGCTGAACAACATGGGTGCACACCAGACTGGCAAAAGTATGTCCAGGAAATCATGCACAAGAATGGGGTATTCTCTACATGTTTTTGGACACATTCAAGCTATAAGATGACAATGTTTTATTTGGGTCATTCATTAAATCACAAGTAATCATCACCTAGAAAATGATTGAAAATATTAGTGTCAACTGATGCCTAGAGCATCTTGTGTTTTACCATCATGATTTTCAATTTACTCCACTTGTACGAAGAAGGGCTCACTTTCAATTCCGCTTCAATCAGGTGCATGGTATCAGAATATCTGAATAACATGAGAAAAAAAATTGTTCATGAGTGTCTATAGGCTTTACTTGTCTAATATAGGGAAATATGGTACAGAGTGAATATTTATTGATGATACTGATACCTAATCAAAGCAGAATTGTTCATATTCAATATATAATGAAACTGGGTGGTTTACTGGTTTTCTGGCTGTCTATATGGACAAAGACTGTTGTGCTCTGCAGTGATAAGTATATTTTCCTTTTTGATGTAATATTATTAAATGACTAACCTGTAAGAACATTGCAAGACCAGCAACAAAGGCAAGACCAATGAAAAGGTAAACATACTTCATGGATTCCCTTTTGGCCTCATCATCATCTGGGATCCCAAGGGTCTGGAAATCAAGAAAACTCAACCAAAGGGATATTGAATCAATGAGTGGCTCAATTCAGTATCTTACACTGAGTACTTCACCAAACAAAATGGCATAGGCAGGCATTGAAATGCCATTGGCAGCAGATGCAAGAGTTCCAATCACAATCAGAGGCCATTCTTTTGCATTCAACTTCATGATCCTCACCAAAGACGGTTTTGGTAGGTCTTCTTTTTTATTACCAGATTTCTCTTCTGTTGGCTATGCATTGAAAAAAGCAGTACATGCTTTAAAAGAGTATACGAAAATAAATCAGGAGGATATCATCTCACCACAACAACTACATCATCAATGTGTTCACTCTGCAGCCTGAGTCTCTTGCTCTGTGGAGCTGTTTTTTCATCATTCTTTGATGGGTCAACTTTGCATTCAGGAAAATTTTACCAATAATATGATACAGCTTAAATAAAAAACAAATGAAATTACATTTTCCAGAGTAGTCTGCTTCTTCATCAACAGTTTGGGCAGTGACCAGTTGAAAGTAGAGTCCATTCTTGGCCATAAGGTCCTCATGACTTCCCACTTCAGCAACTACTCCATTGTCTAGGACAATTATTTTATCAGCACTGCGAATGGTGGTGAGTCTGTGGGCCACAATGATGGTAGTCCTTCCTTCCCTTGCCTTTGTTCAAGGAAGTTATTCAGCATGCGAACAACTTTTGTATATATAAATGAGATGAGTGGATTTAAACCTTGTCTAGGGCATGTTGCACAATGGATTCACTTTGAGTGTCCAATGCAGATGTTGCTTCATCCAACAACAGGATCTTTGGGTCTTTGATGAGGGCTCTTGCAATGGCTATCCTCTGTTTCTGGCCTCCACTCAACTGAGCTCCTCTGTCTCCAACTAGGGTTTTGTAATTCTGTATTGCAAACATGCAATGTCAATATTCACATAAATAACTCCAAAAAAAAGGTTCCAAAAATATGATGATCTCACATTGGGCAGCTTGGTAACAAAGTCATGAGCATTAGCTTGCTTTGCAGCTGCTTGTATTTGAATTGAAGTGGCCTTTTCATTTCCCATTCTGATGTTTTCTTCAATATTGGTTGCAAAAAGCACTGGCTCTTGACTCACTACTCCAATGTGTTCGCTTAGCCTAAGCTACTGTTTGTCCAGGCTCAATATCCAGACTCAATCCCTGAAGTATCGGTACATCAGGTCTACTTGGATAATGGAATTTCACATCTTTGAATTGAACCCTTCCAGTGATTAACTTGGGTTTCTTCCCAGCCTCAGAACTGCTGTCAATGGGGGGCTGCCTGTCAATGATGGTGAACAGAGTTGCAGCTGCAGCTCTTGCCACACCAAATGACTCAATGTATGGGGTTGCTTGGCCAACATTCATTGCACCCATCAGCACACTGAAGAATACCTTTTTGAAATATATGTGATTTCTTCAGGAATTCAGAAGGCTTTAGGATAATAATGATTGATTTACTATTATCAAAACTGAAGCATCATATTCTGGGTTTTCTTGGCCTCTGGAGTCAATGATGAGCTTGGGTCCATACCAAAAGGCCATTGCATAGGACACAAAAATCATGAACCAAGCCAGTCCTCCTCCAATCCCTGTCCACAAGGATCTCTTGATGCCTAATTTCCTTGCTTTCACCAAGTTCACATTGTATCTGGACAACAAAACACTCTATTAAACATTCAGGCAACAAGAATGACTTGAGAATACTAATAAAAATACCTTTCCACTTCCTTCTCCTGTCCACCAAATGCAACAACTGTTCTTATGGAGGAAATAACTTCTTCTGCAACTGCTCCAGCATTTCCGTAAGCATTCAGTTCCAGCTCTGATATAGAGCTTTGCACCTGAAATATCAATTCAGAAAATCCAATGGAATTTTACAGCTTCAAATTCTTTCTTTGGGCTATACAATCTGAATTTTTTTGAAAAATTCTTCAAATTCTGCAAGAGTTTTACTCCTGATTGTTTGCACGTGAACCCCAAGTTGGCATGAATGCTACACACAGATTTGCAAGTCATGATGACAAAGGGGAAACTTCCTTGAGATAAGGTGAAAATAGTCAGAGGGGTGCTTAAATTTGATAAGGAAACCACATGTAATTTGAAAGGAATTTTCAGGAAAACAAAGCGTCTATGGATTTTCAAACTTGCCTTTGCCATAATGCCCATGGCAATCATGAGTACAGGCATGACAGACATGATGACTAAAGTCAGTTCCCAGCCATGAACCAGAGCATTGATCAAAGATGCCACAAAGACAGTCATGAAAAATGCAAACATTCCAACTTTTTCTCCTATTCCTTCTTGCAGTTTGTTCAAGTCCCTGGAAATAAAAATGAAAATTAGTGGTTCAGCAAAGAAAAATAACTGAAGTTTCACTTACTCTGTGACCCTACTGGCAAAATCCCCAGTTTGGTGAGTGTCATACCAGCCAATGTCCTGTCTCAGGACTCCTTTCAAAAACAAGGATCTAATTCTGAAAACCTTGAAAGTTCAAGATAATCTTCAAAATATAAAAGAAAAATGATCTGGAACTCCAACCAGAATGACAGAAGGAATTGACTGAAGTTTTTCTAAACAATCATAATGTCATCATTTAATTCATGTGTCCTAAATTACATTAGGAATGGATTTTTAATCGTGCACATTACAAAAATACTTTTTTTGCCACATAGCCACATGGTTGCTTATTATTCTGTGTATTTTGGGGACCCTGGTTCAATTTTCCAACCTATGCATGGTCATGTACCTTCCTTACATAAGACAATCTTTCAATAGGGAGTCTAAAACACTCTTTCATCACTCATATTTGGGATGGAACTTATTGCTTGATTTGGCTGTGCAGTACTGGGAAATATAGAACTCACACTTATCTTTCATGTAAGTATTGTCTAGTTCAGTGTTCAACTGTTCACCAACCTTTTTGGGACCAGCCAATTTTAAAAAATTTTTTTGCAGACTGGTAAAGTTATGTACAAATTTTGCTAAGAGTTTTGTTTGAAATACTATACTGCAGGTCTTCGAAAAATTTCTACTTTTTTGCAAAAACTAAAATCCAATGAAGCAGCTAAGCAAGTGGAATGTCTTGAAGAAATAGGGTTGTCTTGAAGATAAATTTTTCACAATGGAAAATTGAAAGAACTTCTTCCATCATGTCAAAACGTGTCTGAAGACTGTGACGAGTTATTAGGAGAAAATCCAACTTTTATTTTTCATGAGAAAATTCCAACTTCCATATTGTCTCGCAAAAATTTAGATAAAGAGAATTCAATGTCCTTCATTGATACTTTTGATACATTTATTATGCTTCAAAAAATGTCCCATGGTCCAGCCAAAACTTCTGTGGATGACAGGTTGGGATCACTGATATATTTCCTTTGAACATCCTGGCCAAAATATTAAAAAATTCTCTTCTATCCTGTTCATCTCAGGAAAGTCAAAAAATAATAAAATACCTTGGAACTTTAGGAGGTGTCCAGAGCAGAAAGGTGATTCATTTCATCCAAATAATAAAGAACTCTTGATGACTTTACATCACAATGGCTTAAAATAAAGAAATTGGGCCAGAAGATTTAGATTTTCTTTGAAATTTTGCCAATGTATGGTAAACATATAGCTGAAAGATTTGCTGTCAAGCATATTTACCTTAATAAACTAGTTCAGGCAAGTTTATGGAACTACTGATAAATACTATATATTCCATCCTATAAAATTAAGTTTTATTGCATGAGTCATTGTTGTATTTCTTAAAGTCCTGAATGGGGCTCATTATTCCACTAATTTTCTGATAAGTTTTCATGTCTTTCATTTTTTATATTTTCAAGGTTCCAGACACCACTGTTGGTCACTTGCTTTAAACTCAGTAAATGGAATTGACTATAAAGAAACTAATCATGTCTTTAATTGGGCTACTTTTGAACAAATGAGCATCTGTGGGATGGATGTTGTCTCCATGAATCATCATTTCAGCTAACATCCATTTTTCACCACAATCAATGTATCTGAGCTTGAAGGTATGCTTTATTGAATTTGTTTTTAATATACCTGATTTTCAGCAGCTGCATTCAGCATGAAGACAGACAAGTATCCAAGCAGCAACTGGATAGCTCCCAGGATAGCATTGCCAATCCCAAACATCTCTATCTCAGCTGTCATGTCCACATCACAGGCATTCTGGATCAGTGTGATATCTGGTCCACTAAGAAAAAAAAAACATCTTCATGAACCCACAGCACTGATCTCACGGTCAACAAGAACAATAACCTCATGTTGTAGAATGATTCCAAGTAGGTCTCATTACTGGCCAAAAATTCAACACACAGTTCTTCAACTGTTGAATTGCTGGCAAGTGTCTCAAGCATGGAAATGATGCCATTGGACACCAAGGAGTTGGTCATTCTGCCAAACAAGATGACCATGGCAGGAAAACAGAGACCAGATGTCAGAGATGCCAGGAAGCCAAGAAAGAGGTAAACCTTGTCTTTTGCATCTGCAAAGCGGTACTGCAGAAGGAATTTTAGGCTTTTACAAAATTATTCATGTTGACAAAACATTTGCTTACCAGCCTGAAAAATGATACTGGTGCTGCCTCAGGGATCAAAGGCTTCTCTTCCTTTTTCTGGGCATCTTTCTTCTTCTTTTTACCTCCACCATTCTCCCTTGAAGGCCCCCCAAAAAATGAAATAGAAAGTCTTGAAAACTGAAGTCTTCATAAAATCCACAAGAACACTGACTTCACATCAGGGGGTTCATCCAGCTGAAACCCTGGATTGTCCTGTGCCTGAATTTCTTTTTTTGTAGGCATTTTTTGCACTAGAAATGGATCACTTTTTTTTCAACACACAGAGGAGAGGTCAAGGCTTCACAAACACCAAATGCAGACTCAGCCCGGATCTAAAGAATGGAGAAAAAGGTGTCAAAGGAATGAAGATAAGGACCAGGTATTCCAATAGGCTCAGACACCTGTTCCAGCAGAGTCACCATCATGGGAGAGTGAGATAATGGTGTCATGTGCTTTACCTTGGAACTTGTTGCATTGCTCAGTGCTGTAAAAAAAATATGTTACAGATTCAAAGAAATGGGGACTGAGATTTTTTTTAACCAAAAAGACAGATCAAGTGACTATAATGACCTTAGGTCTTTTAACTTCTGAATTTATGGATGAAAACTTGATGGAATATATCAAAATTTATATTTGTCTATGGAGAAATCAAGAAGTTTACTGCATCATCTGGTTTAAACTAGCATTATCAGCAAATTACAAGTCTCTAACACTCACTTTTTATTTTGAAAATTGACAATAATGGCTTCATGAGGTATCTTTGGTACTGCATTTTGAAAATAATTGAAATGCATTCATAAAAAAGAAAGGCTTCACATGTGAATTGTAAAAGCACCTTGAATGATCAACACCTGAAAAAATGTTCAAAAATCTGTTCATCTTTGTAAGTAAGTCAAGATTGAATGCATTATACTTTTTCAAGGTAATACTTTCAACAAAGTACAACTTCCAAACAAAAAGTTTTATTTGAAAAATTGACAAGGGAATGGTTTCATTAGGTCATCTTTGGAAATGTTTGCTATTATTAATCGACATCCATTCATCAACACAGAGAAAGAAGGCTTCAAATGTAAACATGGCATTTCTCCAAATTTCCATCCCTAAAACTACAGGGATATGTTAATAATGGGATTCTATTTTTTAGCTCAATATATTATCTAAGAGTAATTTTTGATCATACAGTAACTGTCACTTCTAAAATGGATCTGACCCCCAAATACGAACTACTTAGGACAGCTTAAATAAATTGACAGCCATTTAGATCATAAAATGCTCATGTCGCACATAAAAATGTTAGCAGTCATGTGATATCGAATCCATGATGTGATTGAATTGCCCGGATGCACTTTTCTGATTTTCCCTGCATGAATAGAAAAGGAATCTCTCTGCCACAAAGGAAGTCAATAAACAATATCTCTGGAATTCACTTATCAAGAGGAGCCGAAAAGCAGTAAAAGCCCCTCACAAGAAGAGGCCATTAAGGCTGAGATGGCAGAGAAAGCAGTTAATCTCAAAACTTTTATCTCAAACTGAGACCTAGGAGCAAGAAGGGACTTCCTCATCTTCTGTCCTCTTCCCAATGCCAAGTTTGTTCATGCAGTGGACCAAGAATAAGTAAAAAACAAGCATGGAATCAGACAAGAAGTCTGGCAAGAAAAAGTGAGTCATTCTTGATCATGTGAGTAAGTTTCTGTGCTCTTTCAAAATCAAACTTGTTTTTTTTGCATCAGCAAGAAGAAGGAAAAGAAGCCAGAAGAACCTCCTTTGATAGATGGAGCCACACCTGTTTCAATGTTCTCCCTGGTGAGTTTTATTTTTAAAATTGGGCATTCATTTTGCAGTGCATTTCAATGAGGTGACCTTTATACAAGGTTAGTATTTTTGGGGCAAAGTTTTCATTTCCCAACCCCAGCATTCAATCAGTGACTGACTTTGAAAACAGGCTAAATTTTAAATCAATATTTTGACAGTTTATTGGGAGGTGACGTGGTTTGTTCCTTTTAGAGCTAGGAACATAATTCAGTTTGAAATTTACTAATTCCACTTTGTGGGAAACTTACAGTTTAGGTTTTCCAGCACTCTGGATAAGGTGGCCATCCTGACAGGGATCTTAGCATCATTGGTGTCAGGGCTTTGCTTTCCAGCCATGATCATCCTCTTTGGCAGGCTCACAGATGCCATGGTTTCCAATGGAATCACACCCCTATTGGATGCCTTTGCCAATTCCACAATACCATGCACACAAGATATTTGCGGCCTTTTTCTCAGTGGAAACGTGACCCTAGTGGAAAACTGCTTAGATTTGAGGTGAGAGTTGCAAGAATACAAAAAGGCTTGTTATGCATTTCTGTAGGCAATTGCAAAATAAGACATTTTCTCTGGCAAAGCATCATCTTCATATCACCATTTTGTATTATTTTCAATCTTAATTTCCATAAATGTGTGTCAGCAATTTCTGAAAATAATCTGATGAAAACATATTCCAGTTTCACAGATGGAGAGTTCATATTTTACAAGAAAGCCTGTGACACTGATTTTTTTGGGAACCTGGAACTGTTTGGATATGGGACTGCCATTTTGGGAGCTGTACAATTACTCCTTGGTTATGTAGCAGTTTTCACCCTCAACAATGCAGCTGAGAACCAGGTCAATTTCCTCATTTTAAAATATTCAAAAATCAGGAAATTCTTGGAAATACTTACATTCATAAATAAATAACTTTTTCCCAGAGTCAGAATTGTGTTGTTTGTCAGGATAAATTTTTTCTTAAATTCAAGAAATTTTTTCAGCTGCCCAAGATTTTGCCAAACAACTTTCCATCTGCAAAATAAATTTTCTTGGAAGCTGGAACTCAAGATTTCAACTCCTTGCTAAATCTCCCTAATTCAAATTTTTACATTTTTTGCAGTGCACTAATAGGTGTCAAAGATGAATACTTCATGTTTATCACACCTTTTGAGCTGAAATTATGTCTTCTTCTCAAATACTGTCTGCATATTTCAACACATCAAAGAAAATATTTTTTGCAATTAGGATTAGAGTCTTTGCCCAAATATTAGGTTATAGTCTAATTAATTCTGTTTATTTGCCTAAATAAAAATTGGTTATCCATATTCATGATGCTGTGCTGTTCAAACTCCAGACTAATTTTTATTCAGGTCTACAAAATTAGATCTCTGTTCCTCCAAGGCATCCTCAGACAGGACATTGGATGGTTTGACACCCACCAAAGTGGTGACTTTGCCAGCAGAATCACTGAGTAAGTTAGAAAAGTAAGTCAGCATTGAATTTCAAATTTTGAAATCATTTACCATGCAGGGACTTGAACAAGTTGCAAGAGGGCATCGGAGAAAAAGTGGGAATGTTTGTCTACTTTATGACTGTATTTGTGGCCTCCCTCATCAGTGCTTTTGTGTATGGTTGGGAGCTCAGTTTGGTGATCCTTTCTGTGATGCCTGTTCTGATGATTGCAAGTGGTGTCATGGCAAAGGTGAGCATTTATTGACCATGTCCACATTGGGTTCAATAACAACATGCATCAAAAGATTCCAGAAATATTCAGGTAAAATTGTGGTAGCTAATAACTTCAGAGGCCTAAATTTTTATTTCATCTCTGTAGAATGTGGCTTCGCATTTTGACAGATGAACTTCAATTGTTGATTTATAATTTGAAGTAGCATTCAATTTTTTAATGAAGATGTGAAGAGAATTGATTAGATCAGTCAGTGTTCCCAACCTGACGTCCATAAAGACTGGCTCTGGTCTGCATTAGTTTTTGCCGGTCTGAGGAAACTTTTATGAAACAGAATAAAATTATCAAAATCAACAATGACTTTATTCATCTTTATCTGGAATTTTGGAAGGGCAAGGTCAGTTGAAACTATTTTAAGGAAAATATATGCTGGCTTTTCTCAGAATGACATTTCAGAAAATTTTCACCTGCTGAAATTAATTATCTTCAGTTTTCATTTTGAAAAACCTTCCTTGAATCTCAACTTTCCATTTTTTGGAGACATTACACAACATAGTTGCTTCATTGGGTCTTGACTACATATTTGCAAAAAGCAGAAAATTTTTAGATACCTGCCATTATAGGTATTTCAAACAAAACCTTTTTGAGTCTGTATATAAATGTTATGGATTTTTGCTGGTCTGCAGAATTTTGTACAATTTGCTGGGGCAAGGGTCCAAAAGGTTGGGAAACACTGGATTGAATGGATGAGAAATTTTGGAAAAGTTTTAGATTCCTTGGTTCCATGGAACTTACTACAGTTGTTGAATAAGTCATAATAAGAAACTGAATTTTTCTATTTGTCCATTCAGGTGCAAAGTTCTATAGCAGAATTGGAGCTACAGGCTTATGGAACAGCTGGAGCAGCTGCTGAAGAAGTTATTTCCTCCATCAGGACTGTGGTGGCCTTTGGAGGCCAACAGAAAGAAGTTCAAAGGTATAGTCGTTTGACATGAATGGTCATATAAAATCTTTGCTATTATTATTCCTATTACTGAGATATGTTATTTTGTCAAGGTATGAGGAAAGACTTGTCACAGCAAGACAGCTGGGCATCAAGAGATCATTGTGGACAGGGCTTGGAGGTGGACTGGCTTGGTTCATGATTTTTGTATCCTATGCCCTGGCTTTTTGGTATGGACCAAAGTTGATCCTGGAACAAAGGCACTTGGAAAACCCAACATATGACCCATCAGTGTTCATGATAGTGAATAGTTTATTGAGTGTGTCTGGATTCTTGACAAATTAAGGCTCCACTTTTGACCCCAGGTGTTTTTCAATGTCCTCATGGGAGCCATGAACATTGGACAAGCTGCTCCTTATGTTGAAGCATTTGCAGTGGCCAGAGCAGCAGGAGGAACTTTGTTCTCAGTCATTGACAGGCAGCCTTCCATAGACAGCAGTTCTGAGGCTGGATTCTTTGGGTTCAATTAGTGACCTTCCCAAGTTAAGTTTCTACACTTTAAGGTAATAGGTTCATCTGGACTACATGGCTATGAAGTCCCTAACTCAGACCTATAACTCGGACCTGTTTGTCATCGAATGGTGGGAAGCTCAGGTTGTGGAAAGTCCACATGCATCCAGTTGATTCAAAGGTTCTATGATACTTTGGAAGGACAGGTGAGGATGAACTGTATTTCATGCATTTTCTATGTTTGGAAAGCATGTTGTGAATTCCCAGTACATCCTTATGATTGAATATATTTTAATTATCATATAATATGATCTGATTTCAGGTCTTGATTGATGGTGAGCCAGTGACAGACCTGAATGTGGGATGGCTAAGAGAACACATTGGAGTAGTGAGTCAAGAGCCAGTGCTTTTTGCAACCAATATTGAAGAAAACATCAGAATGGGAAATGAAAAGGCCACTTCAATTCAAATACAAGCAGCTGCAAAGCAAGCTAATGCTCATGACTTTGTTACCAAGCTGCCCAATGTGAGATCATCATATTTTTGGAACCTTTTTTTGGAGTTATTCATTTGAATATTGACATTGCATGTTTGCAATACAGAATTACAAAACCCTGGTTGGAGACAGAGGAGCTCAGTTGAGTGGAGGCCAGAAACAGAGGATAGCCATTGCAAGAGCCCTCATCAAAGACCCAAAGATCCTGTTGTTGGATGAAGCAACGTCTGCATTGGACACACAAAGTGAATACATTGTACAACAAGCACTTGACAAGGTGCTCATTCCTCTACTCAGGCTATAACATTTTTCAAAGCTTTCCCAGACTTGTTAAAACCTTTTGCACTTTCTGTTCAACAGGCCAGGGAAGGAAGGACCACCATCATTGTTGCTCACAGACTCACAACAATCCGAAATGCAGACATAATCTTTGTTCTCAACAAGGGTGTGGTTGCTGAAGCAGGCAGTCATGCAGACCTCATGGCCAAGAATGGTCTTTACTTCCAATTGGTGACAGCCCAGACTGTCACTGAAGAAGACAGTAGTTCAGACGATGACTCCAGCCACGGTTTGACCCCTGAATTTTCTTTCCCAGAATTTTTCATGATGGCTTGAATATGTTTCCCATGTTTCATTCACAACAGAGGAAAGTTCAGAGGAAGACAAAGACATTGAGGCAGACAACAGAGGTTCTTCTAAAAGAAAACATAGAACTAGGACTGACTCCTCTGGCGTTTATGGATCAAAGAAGCTGAAAAAGATGGTCAGTGCTTCATTCCACAAACTTAATTTCCTTCTTGTACATATTATTACAATGACAAAAATACAATTTTTGTGCAGTTGTCCCAAGATGAACCAGTTCAAATAGCAACTGTGGAGCAAAAGGAAGATCTACCCAAGCCATCTATGAGTAGAATCATGAAACTGAATGCCCCAGAGTGGAAAATCATTGTGGTGGGCATCATTGCAGCAGCTTTGAATGGAGGATCAATGCCTGCATATGCCATTCTTTTTGGAGAAGTTCTTGGGGTGAGATAAACTGAATTATAATGAACAGCACATTTTTTAAAATCGTCATTTCGATCAGACTTTATCCATTGCTGAAGAAGAAGAAGCAAGAAGGGAATCTTTGAAATATGTGTACCTCTTCCTTGGACTTGGTGGTGTTGCTGGTATGGCCATGTTTCTCCAGGTAATTTAATAGCATAATTTTGCCACCACTGTTTTTGAGTCATTATAGATCTTTTGGGGTATTGAAGGTTTTCATGTTTGGAGTGGCTGGTGAAAAGTTGACAATGAGACTGAGAAGGATACTTTTTGGCACTATGCTAAAGCAAGAAATTGGCTGGTTTGACATGGAGGACAACTCAACTGGAGCCCTTTGTGCAAGACTGGGCACAGATGCCTCCAGCATCCAAGGGGTATGTTCACAGGACTCATTCGTTCAAATACAGTAAATTTCTGTTACAGCAAACTTGTGGGAACTCCAGAAAATGATTTTATTGCCATATTCAGATTTTCAAAATTACTGAGTGCAAAGATTGTTCAATTCAAACTTGCATATACTCAAATATTTCTTTGGTTGCCTTTTCAGGTATTTTTTATGTTTTAAAAACCTTGAAAAAATCAAATGCCAATAACCAAACTTCACTCTGCTCATTAAGAGAATTTATGAAGTTTTTCTCAGGAATTCCTGCATAGATTTGCAAGGGGGGATGTTCCCCAAAAAGCTTACAATATTAGGGGTTCTGAAGCACCCAAACCCCCTTTTACATGAGTTTTGCTGGGTTCATTTTTTTTAAACCCTCATTGTTTTAAATCCCAGGAAAATGTTTTCATGGGGAGGATGTTCATTTGAATATTTTGAAGAATTTTTGTCCTTGATTCCACCTTCCATTCATGTCCAAAGAACCATCAGTCACACTCACATTTTGAATGGGAAATTTGAGACTGTGATTGCATTCATTAGGAAATTTTCATTAGAAAATCACATGTTCCTGAAAAAATGGTGTTGTACAAACCTATTATATGAAGTGGGAATCGTTGCAAAAGTTTCATCACATGTAACATGCAGAATTTCTGCGGGGATTTGTAAATTAGTGTCTTATACTTGAAAATTCGGGATGTACTAGTATTTTTTCATAACAGGATTTCATTGAAATTCAATTCTGTGTGCTGTTTGTATTTCAGGCCACAGGGTCAAGAGTAGGAACAGTGACCCAATCAGTCACTTCCCTCATAACTGGCATCTCCCTGGCCATGTACTACAGCTGGAAGCTGGGTTTTGTCACCTTGGCTTTTGTGCCTCTCATCATTTTTGCTACATACTTCCAGGCAAAGATCATTTTTGGGCAAGATATCATAGAGAAGGATCAAATAGAGAAGAGCAGCAAGGTTTGTTTGTGAATAATGCTATTTCAAGGATATACATTCCAGATGTATGGTTACTTTCTTTTTTAAACATAGTCTGCAGTTGAGGCTATTGGCAACATTAGGACAGTGGCTGGACTGAGAAGAGAGAAATACTTTCATGACTTGTATCTTGATGCACTCAGAGGGCCTCACAAGATGGCAGTGAGGAAGTCTCACATCAGAGGAGCAGCATTTGGCCTGGCCCAAGCTGTCCCATTTTTTGCATATGCAGCAACCATGTTTTATGGAGGAAGGCTGATTGAAGAAGAGGACCTTGAGTACTCCAGGGTGTTCAAGTAAGGTTCCCTTTGCCAAAAGTACCATATTTACTCAGGTGCCACAGGCACCTTTTTTTCTCAAATTTCAGAAGAAAAAAAGGGGTGGGCCTCATGAGCAGATACAAATTTTTCAAGAAGTTTTAGGAAATTACGTGTGCATTATACTTAACCCTTGGACAGCGGAGGGTTCATTTCCATTGTGAGGCCAAGTCAGGATATTTTTGGGGGGGGGGGAGCATTTCAATTTGACCCAAGGTTGCTGAATGGGAATCCTATACCAGAAATGCAGGAAAAAACGCCACCCAGTGAGGGATTCTTTTAAATTTCCATCCAAAATTTTCTGCTGGATTAGAAAAAAATGTTGGACTTTTTTCCAACTCAGGCCTTCATACAAAAGTTGCATTTTTTAAATTCACAGTTCTCACTTCTCAGTGACACACTATTTTGCAAATATATCCTGACTTTGCTGCACAAGGGTTAATTATAGTGGAGAAATTTCAAACAAATGCAGCAAGAAAATTTTTTTGTTCTGAAAAGTTGAAAATTGATCTGATATTTGTTCAATTCATGCCTAAAGTCACATCTTTTGAATTTAGTTTCAAAATTTTGTGGTTTCATATTCACTAAAACTTGGGGTGCACATCTTACTTGGGTATGAGATTTTAGCTAAATTTCCAACTGAAAAACCCCTGTGTGTGCCTTATTCCACGACATGTGGTACTTGAGTTAAGAAAGTATAACTTTTGTGAGTTATAATTGTGGGACCCAAACATAAGGACATAATTGGTGCATGGACCTTGTCTGTAAGTCAGAACATCAGCATGTTGGACTTCATTTCCCCATATACTTCAATGGGAATATTTTAAATGGTTCTCCTGTAGCTGAATAGCTGAGAAAAAGTCCTATGCTACATTGAATAGAATACATTTTTCAATTAGAAAATAGAGAACATCAATTTACAGAAGAAAACCATGCAGAATCTGATCTCTTTTGGCATCTGAAGGAGCTCAAGAAGCAACAATCAAAAGCTATTCTTGTTATACTGAGCCCAAATCTTGGGGAAAATTAAAAAGAAGCACAAAATTAACCCATTTTTGATTATGAATTGTTATAATTTCATAATGCAACCTTGTTGCATTCTTTTTAAATGTAAATAGCTCAATGTCTTCCAGAAATTTGAGAATGTAGAAAAATATAATTGTTGAATTATTCCAGAAATCTTGGAAAAGTGTCCGTACCTCAAGTCACTCTCCATTTGTAAGGGTCATATTTTGTTTCAGTTTCATGTGTCCCCAAGCCATATTGTACATATGTTGGGGTGTCTGTATCTGGGGTTTCACTGTAAATTTTTTTTTGGGGTTCCAGGGTGTCACAAGCCCTCATTCTCAGCACCATGATAGTTGGTCAAGCCCTTGCCTTTGCACCAAACTACAATACAGCTCTGGTTTCTTCAGCAAGAGTGTTCAAGCTTTTGGACAGGACAACTGAGATTGATTCTTCTTCCTCTCTTGGAAAGAAACTTGTGAGCTAATCCAGCAGTTGGGGAAAGACAATGAAATGAAATTACAAATTTTAACACCATTTTCAGAATGCCATTGGAGGTGAGGTGAAGTTTGATGCAGTGGAGTTCACTTACCCTTCAAGGCCCAATGTGCAAATCCTCAAGAGGCTCATTTTGGACATAAAACCTGGATACACTGTTGCACTTGTTGGTAGTTCAGGATGTGGCAAGTCCACGGTGATTCAACTGCTGGAGAGGTTCTATGATCCTTCCTCTGGCTCTGTGGTAATAGGTCCTCACATAGTTTTGCTTCATGTCAAACTACACATGGAAAAAATGTCTAATTATCAATCTAGAACTTGGAAGGAAACAACATCAAGGACCTGAATATCTCCAACTTGAGAACAAAGCTAGGACTTGTCAGCCAAGAGCCTGTTCTGTTTGACAAGACCATTGCAGAAAACATTGCATATGGGGACAACTACAGGACAGTTCCCATGGAAGAAATCATTGAGGCAGCCAAAAGTGCCAACATTCACAACTTCATCACAACCCTTCCCAAAGCAAGTTTGATTGACTGAACATGACCATCTATTTGAAACATGACTTGAAGCTAGTATATATTGAAAAATTCTTTAAATTTTCTACACTAGGGTTATGAAACCAGGGTAGGTGACAAAGGAACCCAGCTGAGTGGAGGCCAAAAACAAAGGGTTGCCATTGCCAGGGCCCTGCTGAGAAACCCAGCCATTCTTTTGCTGGATGAAGCCACTTCAGCTCTTGACTCAGAAAGTGAAAAGGTACAGCATAACAAGAACAATTTTGGGAATGTTTCACAGATGTTCTTTAAAGTTTTCACAATGGAATGTAACAACTATTGAACATATCAAATTACATTTTTCCTCAATATTTTCTTTTAAAAACCAAAAATAGGTTGTTCAAGAAGCCCTGGACTCAGCTCAGAAGGGGAGAACATGCATCACAATTGCCCACAGACTGTCCACCATTCAGAATGCAGACATGATTTATGTTTTCCATCAAGGCAAGGTTTCAGAGTCTAGGTTGTTCAAGACGCCCTGGACTCAGCTCAGAAGGGGAGAACATGCATCACAATTGCCCACAGACTGTCCACCATTCAGAATGCAGACATCATTTATGTTTTCCATCAAGGCAAGGTTTCAGAGTCTGGAAAACATGTTGACTTGTTGCAGCTCAAAGGATTGTATCACAACCTCTGGATTCAAAGTGGCTCAGCCAGACACTAGCCATCAACACCCTGCGATTTCAAATTCAGGCCCATCTTTGTCATCAATAAAGAGCATACTCCTGAGATGGCATTGAGGCTGTAGTGTTGACTTTGGACAGGAACATTTCACTACAATAACATAGAATCACAATACCATAGGTTTTTCAAAAATTACTATCTGAAAGAGCTTTTGTGAAGTGTTCTCCTTCCAAGAATGATATCCTGCATAATGACAGTCAGGATTATAATTGGTAGATTTGTGTTGGGTGGGGAGGGGGTTTGGATGTGGAAATCTTGATTGAGCCTTGTGAACGCTGAAAAGGAGAAAATAAAGCGTTCTGTTCATTCATTCATTCAAATGGTACCCTGTAATTTGACCTTAATCCATTGCTGTGCTTGGGTTGAATTGTGAAGTACTGTATACAAATTTCAAGTCAACGTCAAATACAGTACAGTACAATGTTTTCTACATCAATGTTGCTGTTCTGTGGCTCTCAGCTGGTCAAATTGCAAGTCAAACTCCCAGCAAATTTGGCTCTCAGATTGTGTTATGTATAGAAATGCAAGTTACCATCTGTATCACAGATGCTCAATTGCATGGATCAAGGACAGTTGATTTCTTCATCAAATTAAAAATCTTTGCTGTCCGGAAAATTATGCTGAAATTCTCAACATTCAGTATACTGCATTTCTCAAACATTTTCAAGGGTATCTGTGGAAAATCACTCCCTCTCCAAGTTGGCAAAGCACATGCAAGTCACTGGCCACTGGGTCAACTGTAACACCTGTTATCCAATCATACAAATGCACAGCAATGTCCACAACATTATTTGGCAGAACTATCAGGCTAGCAGCTTCAAATGCAAAGGCAGGTGGGTCCTGGTTGTTCAGCACAACCAATGAGCTCAGCTCAGCATAGAAAAATGAACCTGAAATACACCACAATCCACCAGAATGTCTTTCAACTTCAAGGTAAGAAAAACTCACCATCATCACTGACAAAGGTCAGCCAAGCAATGCCTCCAAAAATCCTATTATATGTTATTCCTTGTGTTTCACAGAGGTCAAAGTCAATTTCCACATCAAAAACTTGTCCTCTGTTGTAAACATCATTCACAAGGTTGTTGAAGTCATTAACAGGTGCCCTGAAACAAACCACAATATTCTTTTGCTGAAAAAGCTCGTCATTGGCATTTTAATGGGTGATTCTATACCTGCTTCTTCCAATTGCATGGAAAAGACTGGAAGTTGCCAGAGGACAATTCAATGTTCCAGCTGCTATTTGCTGTGCCTCAGTGTCATATATGAAGTAGTCAATCAGAACTGTTTCATCTGCAAACACCCTGATCTCATTCACAAATGTGTCCCCAATCACTGTTGGAACAAAGTTTGCAAGTTTAAACACCATTTCTAAAAAATAATACACACTTTAACTTACCTTGGATACCCCAGTAAGAAAATTCCAGATACTCAACCTCTGCTTTGATGAGCTCATATTGATCAAATCTAAGGGACCCAATCTGGAAAACATACAATTTTACTGTAACTTTTGGTTTAGCTAACTTTCTAAAAATCAACTTTACTCACAGCCCCAGTCCAGTCATATATTTCTCCAGCTACAGTTGTACAGAACTCCAGGAAGACTATTCCTTGCATGTCATGTCCTGACAATGTGGACTCCTTGATTTCTTGGTAAGTAGTGTAAGTGTCTGGTTTTTCACCTGAATGAAAAATGAGGGAAGACTATCATAAAATTATTTAAATATGACTTCAAACTGTAATTACAGTTAGCACTTTTGTTTGCTATTACCACATATGCCTTTGTTATGAAGGGATAAAACAATTTTAAGAGAGTTCAGTGACTTACTTGTACTGGCAGTAAACCTAATGTCATCCCCAAGTTGGCACACAAGATCAAATGTGTATGTGGTTTGAAGGTCAGCATTAAAAACAGTCACAGTGAGGTTTGTAGTCCCATCCTTCTGTACAAAAAGAAGATCACTCTCCAAGGCAAGTCCTTGACCTTCATTAGAGAGGACTGCAAGGTCAGTGATGACCATGTATTCACCAGGTGTCCCTGCATTGAGCACAAGTACAAGATTACCAATTGGTCCTTCAAAATGTAACTCACGCTCACATAAATAAAAACGTTCAAAAATTGTATTTTGCATCTGGGCACCCTCTTGGTGATCCTGTCTTTAAATTCCCTCAGCTCATGCACCAGTTTTGCTCACAAGGCTACAAATGGCAAATAGATTATACTGCTGGTGGACACAAAATGTATGGCCGGCTTTAAACTTGAACATTAGTAAAATATTCCTGCAATATCAAAAATGATGATGCCCTGGTGTGCCCCTCCCCTGTTTGGGAATGTAACAATATTGAAACATTTCAAACAATATTGTAAAATTCACCATCTTCAAAGACTTCAAAGCGCTTGATCTGTTTGCCAACCACGTAAGAGGTTCCCTGGAAAACTTCTGACCCCTGGCAATTGTCCAATGTAGCAATGGCCCTAATGTGTGACCCAATCAACAAATCTTGCTTCAGTTCATTGTAGGTATCCATCAGGGACCTAAAGTCAGACAAAACTTGAAGCTTCACATAAAAGGACTCAGCACAAATAAATAACTTACAGATCATTCCCTGGGAGCAACCTGTGAGCAACAGCCCCAACACCCAGTTCACAGTTGAAGGTAATGGGGGAGACTTCAGTAGAACTTGGATTGCCAGATAAAACATTCACCAGAACATTGTTATCATCAGTTAACTTGATGTTGTGGGTAACCCAAGTGACTTCAGTCTCCAATTGAGCTGTGGAAGATTCAACTTCAAATATATTGAATTGCATGAAACATTATTATACAAGAAAACATCACCATCCAAGTAGAAGTCATCAGAGTTTATCTCTTCATTGCCTGAGGGTAAAGTTACATGCTGCCATTTCAGCAGAGGAAAATTGAAATGCTGGAAAAAAACATGCAATGTAAAATTTAAAAATCAAGGTACTTTTTACTTTTCTGCTTACAATGCTGCCTTCCAATCCAGTAGTTGAGCACAAGTTTGAGTCCAGTCCTAGAGTCAACTCACTGCCAGAAAGCAGGGCTTCTTTGATGAGACTGTAGGAAGTCAATGGACCTGAGCAAATATTTGATTTCTATAAGTGAAGAAAATTTCAGAGCTGAAGCAGAAAAAAAGCTCACCTTGGCCATTGGCAAAGCCAAGCAGAAGGCACAGCACAAAAGTTTTCATTCCGACTGCTTCCTACTGTGGAATTCAGGTGACAGAATTTCAAAAAAATGAGTGCTTCCTCTTTATAAAGGCAGCTTATCAGGATAAGGATTAATGTAAGAATCTTAGTGAAACATGACCAGGTGTCTGTGAAACCCCAGGTGGACAATTTCCCCAGGCTTCAAATCAACTGTGAACACACCCTTATGTATCATTGCATGTGTTTTTATTATCCACTCTGCAACAACAACAAAAAAGGCAAGTCCTGGTACTTTTTCTTCTTCAAGGGTATCTGAAGAACTGGACACCTTCGCCAAGAGTGCAGAAGATCTCAGTGGGTTCCACACCAATGGTGGGCAGCAAGCTTTCACCAGTGAAGAAGTCATACAGGTTGGCTCTGACAACAACAGTGTTGTCTGGCAACACTGCCACACCAAGGGCTTCCCATGCAACTCCCAAGTTGCCAGTCAAGCTCTCAATGACCACACTTGACAAGTCAGCATAGAAGTATCCCTCTTCAAAGAGAAATTAACAATTATTGACATGCTATTTCATCAGGAAATTGATGAAAGTTTATTTTTCAGAATTTCTGTGTGCTTATATTTGTTTGTAAAAATGTCCTAAATACTGAACAACTTAATTGAAAAATGAGCATTTCTGAAAAATTGATCAAGCCTTGAATGGTAGAATGCAGATTTATTCCTTTTTCAGACTTGGAACTGATACCAGTTTTACCTTTGTATTTTGACTCAATGCATTGTGTTTCAATATTTTAGAATGACTCATACTTTTCAAAGGGTGATACTTGTGAATGAATTATGTCACTGTTGAAGTAGGGAAGATTTTTCCAGGATTTTGAAATTTAGGATGTTTTTCTTCAGATGAGTCTTGGGATCACATTTGAATTGAAATTGCCATTGGCAAAGATGCAATTTTGCTGTCAAGTTTTGAACATGCAACTTATATATTTGAATGCACTCAAAAATTACTCATGTTCCAGGCATTGAATAAATGAGACTGTAAATCATGCCTTGCATCAAATGAGCTGATATTTTTGGACCACACCTGGATTTGAAAATAATGTATCAATAGTTTTTTTTACCT